CCAGACACTTTATATATCAGCGATCAATTCAGTGAAATAATTCTACGAAATGTTCAAGCCGGTGGATAGCTGTACTGCATATGGAACTTACGTATGCAATACAAACTTGTGATAAATGACACTTTGTTTGCAGTAATTTCCTACACGGCGGGAGTGGTTTTGACGAAAAATAAAAAATGTAGCATTTTTCGGTCTTAGTTTTTCTGTTCACGTTTATGTTTCCGGGTGCGACATACACATTTAGAGTGAAATATTTAAATAAAAGCATGGTTCCACGTGCCATTAAGAATTAACATGTGTAGAATACTAGTCACCGTATGCAATCCAAGTACGTATGTACATATGACATATCCACGCGTTTGTATTCCAGACACAGAAAAATGAAACGGTTTTTAGCCCACTTTATTAATCCAGTTGTTCTCTGGGTCTTAGCTATGGAACCAACTTGCGTCCTTATATTAGGTTCCTTGTTTGTGTTGACTGGCTTAGTTGAAAGCACCCTCAAAATCTTTTGAGTAGAGTTCTAATCTTAAGTAAATCATTCGAAATGGGAATAGTTTGCAACTTTGTAACTTAGAAATTTGGAATGTCCAAGCAAAATTGCTTTGCAGATGGAACGACCTTAATGAATCACTTATGTAACAGTTCTCTCAATGGTAGTATTTGAGTAGGATGCAAATTTTCGCAACTTCATGTATTGTAAAGGAGAGAAAGCGATAGACCGGAGCAGAGTGTTGATGTCTTCTTTGAAACTAATGGCTAATTTTAATGAGGTTTCTTAACAAGTCTCAAGCAAAGTTAGTGGCAACAAATAGTAGTTTCCTCATTTAGGCCCAATTGGAGACATGCTTAATTGCCTCATCACAATCCAAGACAAACTAATCTCAGAGAGCGACCGAATTGGTTTTGCGAAATCAATTTCAATTTAATCCATATATCCATTCTAGGAATATAGGTATGTAAGTAGGTATCAATTCTGATGGAATTTCAAATACAATAATTCTGAAAACAACGTCAAGAATGCCTAAGCTCTCAGAAACATTCCTATCTTAGCACTTACGTATTGTTAGAATTAGGAATTATAAAATTAAACGTCTCAAATCTCCGATTTTCTGCAAAGTTGAATTAACTAAACCCGGAAAAGGAAAGCTTAAATGAGACTAGGAGTGCGATGAAAAGTATTTAATACTCTTCCTCACCAGGAAATGGCACTTTTAATATTTCGAGTATCAAAGCTCCATTGAATATAAATTGGGGGACTTAATATAGCCAAATTTCAAAATCTGGGCTATTGCAGACGTGGATAATTTTTTCTGAGCTAGCCATAAGAAATTATAAAAGAAAATTGATATATTTTTTGTAAAATATGGATATATGTACACTCCTACAAAACGAGTTTTAATGTGACAAAAATAGGGACTATATACGTAATCACAGATGGGCGTACGTACATATTTAGATGAATTTATAGTTAAAGTTGACTGATTACGCAAGTCAGAAACATTATGTAGACCCCATAAAAAATAAATTAAAATCCAGGATTAAAAAATATTGCAAGTTGTACAAATGAATGTGTATGTACTCAAAGTTAATGCTCAAGGCAAAATGACGACGTAAACAGTTTTATTTAACGACAACAGAAGGTTGTGCACTTATTGTATTTTGAGCATTCTCTATTTATAACAAGACAAAAAACGTAGTCCTTCATTCGCTGCCGCACAAGAAAGGGAACGACGAATGACGATGGCATCTGATGTTTTCAGCTCACATAGCAAAAACAGAAGGATATTTTTCTTCTCCCAAGATTGCCTCATGGAGCTTCAAGGACCAGACAAATGAATCTGAGTGAAAGCATGTATCTGGCTGCAAAGGAATTTTGTGCCAGCTCTGCATTGCAATTTTCCTTGGACATGAGTTTAACATCCATATATCCATTTTCAGCAAGTAAGTCTGATTTGTCTTAGGTGTGGAATATATTGCATGCATGCCTCAAACAGGGTTTACGGAATATCAGTGTGAGCATTTTTCCGTCGAAAAGTAAACAAAATGAAAGAGATACACACAGGACACGGTCCACAAGCAAACAACTTTGACAGCGCCGTGTCAGTCAGTGTAAAGTAAGCCTCCGTGCAATTCGTACATTTACTTTCCCTCTCCAAACTTGTTTCCCTGCCTTCATATACATGCCAAAGTTTCATTTTTGTGCAGAGGTCGAAAATTTTTGCTGTCCTACACATTTTCTTTTTTTTCGAGCGATTTGGGTAAAGTGGAAGTGGATTTAGTCAAGTTGTCCTTAAGGAACCTTGCCTGAGTGAAAGTGGAATTGAAGAAAGTGACGAAGATTAAACGACATAGCGAGTCGGCCAGCGTTGTAGAAAATTTGTACCCTACGGTTTACAGTCTTGAGATACACATATAGAAACACGAACATATGTACATGAATGGAGGAGAGACTTTGTTTTTTCGAGGTATATGTATACGTATATCTTGAGTAGAAGCACATAGTTGAAGCGTGGACATTTGAAACACTTCGTCCGCTCTGTTTGGCAGGAAATAGAAACAAGTCAGTCAGTGAAACATTATGTGCATGCAATTCCTAAGACGATCCATCCACCCGCCACACCGGATTTATTTCTGATGGGAACGTTCTCTGGAATCGCCTGGAGAAAAAAATCTCTTTGCACACACATCCCATCTGTTTGTATGGGATGACTGCCTGGCGTGCCTTCAAAGTAAATCGCGAAATGTATCGAATGAGTAAGAATCTCTTCTCCTGTCGCTGTCCCTTCATGACGTTGTTGGGAACTTTTGCAGCCATCCTAACCACTCAACGCTGTATGTGTATAGCACGGCTGTCCTGCTCATTTTTTAGCACATATGTCTAAATATAAACATTTTGCGAAATTGGTCTAGTACCTTTTTGAAATGTTGTAATCTGTGTATTTTTGTTGTCTACTTAACAAAACATGCAAAAAATATGAAATTGATGAGAAATTAAGCTACAAATGATGGCAAAATAAATACAGCCTATTTATTGTGTAATGTTGTGTAATAATCACACATAGTGTAAAATATGCAATCAAGATTAATTACATGTAACATCAACAAAACGAGGCTCATCTTATTGCGCAACATAAATGGAGTCTAAGCGAGAATGCACTCTGCACAGTTCTGATTTCCATGCACCAAGTGGGAAATTGGTACTGTCGATTTGACACAAATATATTATTCCTGCTTAGATTGAGGTATCCAATCTTAAGCTGAAGATTCAGATTTGAAAGTACGCAAAGCCAAAGTTTGTCGCAAGCTGGTTAGTTGGAAGTGAACTAAATAAGCCAGGACGAATCCCACGGCGGTTGTGCCTTCTGGAAGTTGTCGGGGAGAGTGTTTCCAACGGGGATGAGGTCTCCGCAGAGCATTGAGAAAGTGGAAAGGCTCAACACCCATTCCCATTACTAAAATCTCTCTTCCTATTCAATGTGGATTGAAATTGTGAAAGTTTTTCTATCACGAGATACATAATGCGGTGGATTTCGGTGATTCCACGTTTATTCATACATTTATCTAAAGATTTCGAGATACCAGCAGTTTATTTGTGTAACAGTCGGAAGAGGAGAAAGTGCGGATTATTTTTGTATTTTTCTCCGTTTGCACTTCATAATGGCAATTCTTGCTCCGATTGTAGTTATTTTTGCGAGTATTCAAATTACCAAGAAGCCCATAAAATTCGATTGAATAAAAGAATTTCTAAAAATCTAAAATCGAATACAAAAGGGGTTATTGTCCAGAAGGATATTATTATAATATTCAGAAATGTGCGAGGATTCAAAAATATACTTTATATGCATATTGATGATCAATGCGAGGCATAAATGTTTCATTGAAATGTGAAAAGGACGAGAAATATATGAAATTCTTAGCCCTCGTCTTCCCCCTACTTGCACATACCTACGTAGAACATGTCATCGTGCATTATAGGTGCACATTTACAATCGAAAACCTTCAATTTCTTTTTCTCGTTTTTTCCTCAGTGAAATATTCTGTCATTTCAATGTGGCATTATATGTGTGTTATCCATATCTTTCAGAAGGGAACATTGGATGGGTATGGAGACATAAATAAAGATTGAATTCAATATGTCGCCGATATCTTCAATCTGCACTCGCTGACAATCTACATAACGAATAACCTCGAGATCCCACGTCTTCCGTCGACATAGCCGCAGACCTTTCTTACGTTGACCTGAAATTGCGCAATACATAGTTCTCTACCTAAATACGAATCCCTCCTCTTCTGCTGAACCCTACAAAATTGCTCTGATAGCACTCATTCAAATCCTTCCCAATAAACTATTCAAATAACAGTTGGAAATCGTACAAGCATAAAAAATTGAATGGTTTGTCAGTTCCTTTTACTTAAGCAGATAGGCAGAAATACTTTGCTCCGAATACATCTGATATATTTTCACTTTTTTATTGGTCTGGGGAGGCTGTATTCTTAGACATCAATTACAAGGCTTCTGCGCTTATAGTCTCAGTTTGGAATTACATGTTCTATCTGTTCTTGAAATTTGTGAAATTTTCAGAGTAAACCGTCTGGGTTGCATTTTGATTTATATACATATACATGTATTTATATAGATATAAATATATTCATTATTGGGGCTTGTCAAAAATTCCCACTCAAAACACGAATGTTATTGAAGGGTAATGAAAGCAAGTGAAACTGATTAATGACTATCGGAGATTAGAAGGGAGAAAGTGAAGCCAAATCACATGGGCGGACTGGGAAACACATTCAAGGTTGACATTTTTACGGAAAGGCTGTACGTGTGAAGTCCCTGACTTAACATTGAACATCATTACTGTTGCATTTCATGCAATGACAAAATATTGTGTCGGGTTCTGCACGACGACCCCACGAAATGAACTTGGCCGCGTGACTCAGAAAGTCAAGTGAATGCAATATACTCTATTTATTCCGTATTTTTCATTTTTCAGGCTCCCCTCTTCCACGGGTTGTTTGGTACAGAAACGGAAAGCTGATCGACACCAGCGATTACTTTGCCGACGGACTCGTGAAGAATGATCTCACCATCACGGTCCTCGCTCGGTCCGACCTATCTGCCGAATTAACATGCGAAGCGTCAAATAACAACATAAGCCGACCTCTGGCTACCACCGTCCATTTGGATATGAACTGTAAGAACTCGATTTTTTATTGTATGCATTTGCGTAATATGCTAACACAAATTTATAAATAGCATCGACATAAAGAAAGCATGTTTGCAAAATGTTCATATAGTTAATTGTCGCAATGTGGCACCCATCACCAAAGTCAAACATGAAGACCCGCATGATTCAGGAGAAAGTTCTCATTTTCGAAATTGAATGCAGCTAAAAGAGTTTTTATCGCATTTTCAACTTTTCGTATTAGTTCTGGCTTTCTCTAATGGGGGACAATCGGAAGGTGTTGTTGGATTTTCTGGCTTTGGCCAAGGCATAGGGGACCAGTTTGTAAGGCAGAAGTTATGGTGGTAGGCAGGTCGTGGAGGAGTCCTCCGACAACTGAAGTGAGTTGAGCTGAGCTGATTTCTATTCATGGGAAGTCGCGGACGAGGGCAAAGGAAAGGAAGTTTGTTACTCGTCCACGTACGTGATCATCAAGGATATCACCACTTCGTTTGGAAAGTCATGACGAATGGGTACTTAACTTATTTATTTGCCATCGCCCTCGTCCATTCACAACCGCGCTACCTTCCTTCCGCAAATATAGCTCATATTAATGAAATTTGATGGTTGACCAAGCTGTAAAATATTTTTTTCACTTTATAAAACATTGTTTACATTTATGAGCACTTTACACTTGATGCTACATCCATATTTATAAGCACAATTATGTAATGGGCGCATTTTCAATAAATACTTATTGATTTTATAAGGATCCACCACCACCATTTCTCCAGAGTCCAGGGTAGAATTCTATCTATTTCTCTGCTATAAACCTTGCATGAGTTGAGGGGGCACGTAAAGATATAATTCAAGTCGTGACAGTAATAATACCGAAGAATTTCACAAAGGCTTTTCTCCTCGCTCACTCGCTCTCTCTTGACCAGAATAGCAGAAAGAAACGTTGTGCATGTCATGACTCCCATCAAGTCTGAGGAAAGCGGAAGAGAGCCTGCACGCACAAAAAGAAGAACTTAACTTTCAAACATAGTTGTACAAGACGAAATAACCAAGGGTTTTGAAAGATGGGTCCAACTTTAGTTTTTTTTTGTAGAGGAAAATAAATAGCAACATGGGTAGCGTTATATTGTTATCGCCGTAGTGTTGCTTGCTCTGGAGGTACGCAAGTCACAGTTAACAACAGGAGAGGACAGTTTCAGGGAATACAAAAAGTTGTTCCGAAGCGTCCTGAGAACTATTGTGTAGCACACTCCACGAGCATACTGAAAGGTTCCGGTTGTATGTATGTATGAGTATGAGACAATATATTAAGTTAGCCAGCAGAAGAGTGTGAATCAGTCAGCAGAAATTTGGAGGCACTAGTCGTAGTCGTCGTCGTCGGAGCCTGTGGAATCTGCAATTTATTACAGTTAAGTCCGCCTCGTCCAGCACATGCACAGATACATCGTTTCTGCAATATTTAATGGCTGAACCGCGTAAATGTAAAGTTAAAGTCCACAAACCATGTGTAAAATACAAGGCGACGTGGTCCAGGAGGAGGTTATCTATATTTTACTTGCCTGGTTTTGTGGCTTGTGGCGTCCACGTGTCGGGAACGAGGCTCACGTTAAAATAGGATGACACATAACTCTTTCTCAACTTACATTTTTCATGAATTGTATGGTCATTCCAGGCTAGTTCCAGAATTAGATGGAAAAGTTCTTACTCGGTGCATACTGAAATTTTCAATCCTTCGTCCACAGCATCCAAGCAACATACATGCAATAAAGTACATCTGGAAAGCATAACAACGCGACACAATGCTGTGGATTTGTCAGCTTCGAAGGGATACAATGACACCACACGAGTATCACTATGTTAAAAAAGAGGATAGAATACGCCAACTCAAGTCATTGGGCATATGTATATATTGGGTTTCACAAACACATAGGAAATCACCGTGAAGTTTTGGTGGCCGTAGTGGCCAAGCGTGGTGGAGGGCATGGGAGGTGATCCTTGCGTGGTATTGAGTAATATGAGCGAAAGCGAGGCGGAGCAGTGAAAGTCAACTGGTTCCTGTGTGGTGTCAGTAAATGACCACTTCTTTACTCCTGCAATGGTTTTCCTTACACAGACCGCAGAGAGAGAGAGAGAGGAGGGCGAGAGGAAGAGAGAAAGTGAGGTCGGGTCTGGCTGGACACCGACAGATAGAAATATTTTAGTGAAGTCGGTCTATCTTTCCAAGAATGTTTCCCTCAAGAGAGATAAGTTTCGAGCTCGTGACAGAATTCCCTCTTTCTGACTCCCAGTCCTCAATTTCATCCACACCGCACCAAGTATAATAGGGCCTCGTGTCGTGTCATAATCTCAAAACTATCGAAAACTTGTCCTTCTTGTCATGTCACTATCTGACGGGACTGGGTGTGAAACTTGACAGCAAAAAATAATCATTTGCTCTCTTTTGCGACATTCTGCCCAGTCGGCGAACAGGAAGGGAATGCTTACACGGGTGGGAAATATCGAAATCGGGTCAGTGAGAAAATGTTTGCGTAAACTGCTGCGGTTTCATTCCATCGCGTCCTCATATTTATACACAACTCACTAAACCCAACTGCAACTGACAGTTTCTATCAACCTGAAAGCATGACACTTTGTTACCCTACTTACGCAACACCCAGATCTGGGTGTATTTATAAATTGAAGGGGATGGACATGTTATCATCGTCGTCTTAACATTTAATTTCGAGATGACCTTTCCCAAGAGGATGCGTCAATCATGAAATAAAACCTAATTTTTTTTTAATTCCCAATCAGTCACTTAAAAATATATCATTTTTAAACCCCGGGACTTCAAGTGTACAGTACTCAACTTATTTTACGCAATTGTAGTTTCCCTAGTACATAAACGTGTGTACAATCTGAGAATATGTACACAATTTTAATTATGCATTAAGCAAAGCTGTATCACGAATAATAAATATTTACACACATACACAATTTTGTTGGTAAAATGTAGTACAAATTTTCACTCTCACGAATATCCGTCTTTCACGAAATTTTCCTGACATTACGTTCCAAGTTCGTATTTATGATATGGTCTTATTTATGTGTGGCTTGCTCATTTTCTATTTTGATTGATGTGCAGATGGCTTCGAGGTTTCACATCATTAATTCTAAAACGAGAGCATGCGTGCAAATTTATATTTCTGGGTAGGCTCTCTCCTGTGCGAAATGTAGTGTATGTACATGCCCATAGGCAATTATTTGTGCATAACCATGTTACTTATTTATTGGCTGATCTTGAGGTTTTCTCATCAACAGATTATCACGATCTGCAAATGTCGGCCCAGAAAATAACTCGCTTTCACTCACTCTCCTGCACATTTTCATTATCGCATTGAGAGTGATGTTCAAAGAATTTTGCACCAGGAGGATTCTCACGTCCTCGACTCCCACGTTAGCACTGCAAGCACGAACCATGCAGCACACATCTACATTACACTTTCACATGAGTGATCGTCGTTGCCAAAGTTGCGCTCTTCTTAATTACATGTTCTTCGAGCTCTCTTGTCGTTGACGTAAATGGTACAAATCTTGGAGGACACTAGAGCGATTCCCATGATATCGCAGAGAAAGGGGAACTCTAATCCTAAGTGAAATGAAACATATTTATCACTGCAGATTGCAAATGTGAACGCTGGTTGGGTCAAATGACTGTCATCATCATTAATTCGTAGCACTAAAGTAATTGGCATTGTTGTCGTGTTGTGCGTAGTACTGGATAATTGATTTCCAAAAATAATAAATTGCGTATATTTATCTGGATAATCGTAGTAAAAAATATATGCAATTAATTACAAGGATATAACTCGGTTTATTTTTCTGATTTTACAGTTAGTCCACTGGAAGGTAAGTTTATATGATTGCAATTTAATTAGATACGTAATAATAGTAAGAAATATGTTTTAACTTGTAATAAACTAATTGATAACTAACGATAACTAATTTTTCTCTAAAAGTGACCATTTTGGGGAAAAGCAGTCGAATAACGGCAGGGAAGAAGTATGACCTAATGTGTCAGTCTGTCGGATCACGCCCACCCGCTCACATTTGGTGGTTTTTGGACGACAAAAGAGTGGAAAGTGCGAAAGAAACGGTAAGATTTTGTACTCTATTTTTAAAATGTACATAAAATACCAAAAAGTGCATCAGATTTTAGATGCTAGTTTGTAATTCCTCTCAACATTGAAGGCGTGCAGTTACTGCTTGGTTGAAGAGAATCTTACGTAACTCCAACACTTGTTTGTACTCACTTTTGAAATTACATAAATATGCATGGTGCGAAACCCCTTTTAAAGAAAGAGGTAGGAGTTTGAGACAGCTTTATTTTTTACCTCAAGAAACACTGACGTTTGAGTGGGTTGGTGTTAAAGCTGAGTAAATCAAAAGTCAATTACAGTTTCACAGCAGTGGTCCACTTTCATTCTCGGAAGCATCGTAGACAAACAACATCCATTGAAGAAGTACAAAACCAGCCAACATTATGGGAGAAGAATGAGAAAAGAGGTTTGTTAGGGGCCAAGCAGGAGACCTTATCTGGCACAGCAGCAGGACACATATAGCACCCAGAGGAGGGGCTCCTTGTCATTGTGGAAAACTGGATTTTTTTCTAAATTAATCTTCCCACTCCTTAAATTACACTAGAGCTTCTATTTATTATACACCAATAACAACCCGGCTCTTCCCTTGCTTCATTCTCCTCAGCAAAGAGGCAATTCTATGAAAAAGAAAGGAGCACATATGTACATACATACATATATTGTAAAATTTATGTATATATATCTCCATTAACACCTTTGTGACTTCCTTCCACTAACCCAACATAAGTGCTTGAGTACTTACTTGCAAGTACGAGTTCTTTGTTCCTCATGCTAAAAAATACAAAATGTGAGGAATGACTTCCATGGTCAAAATTTCACGATTTCAGAAAGTCTTGTTAAAAAATGGAACGGTTAAGCGATAAAAAATGATTGCCTAGTAATTTTTGAAAACGTTTAGTGAGAACATGTCATGCGATATTTTTTTATTTCATGATTTTCTCCTCAGAATATACTTCCTTCCGCTTTCTTCCAAAATTCCAAAGTTTCCTAATCGAAGAACAGTGAGTGTGATTTCAAATTTATTCGTTTAGAACGAAACCTGACGCCCCATCTTGGCTTTTACTTTCTTTAAACAGGAAACCATTACATCACCTCGTACTCTATTTAATGACAGATAGACTCATAAACGAAGTTGTGATTTGAAGCAGTGTGGGTGCGAAACAAGGCCAAGTTCGGCATGTGTGGAGAGAAAGAAATTTTGTTTCATCTCCATCCATGAGGTCTCGCAAGGTTGCTCTCACAGCGCAAAACGTATCAGTCGTAGGTTGAACGGAAAGAAAGTACTTTTAACTTTTACGTTTTTCGATGCTTGATTTTTATACTTTTAAAGATTTTGTGTAACTCACTCACTTTGGACTGTGAAGTGGAGGTGGTAGTGTGAAAAGTACGTGAGGCGTTGGGGTATCCGGGGCACACAAGGCAACCGGGCCAAAGATAGTTTATTGCAGTCGTAGCCAAGTTTCTTACGCCCGACCTTAGTCCGCACTTACTTAACTCTTCCATCAACTCTCTCCATCACATCTCAAACCAAGCGCACGGAAAAAGTGTCCATGTTCCAGCAAAGAGAAAGTAAAGGGAAAAGCACAAAAGAAGGTCTGAAAGTGAGTTCCAACTCGCACCCCATAAAACATAGTTCGGCGTTACTCACTAACTTGTTAGCTTGTTGGGAGGCTGTTAAAATCAGAGTTGCTAGTCTACTCTTGTGGAAAAATTGTTTTCCTTGGGATCGAAGCCAAATAGAAAGAAACTTGATAATCATTTGAGAAGTCGAGTTACATTCGGATAAACATGATCAACAGGGAAGGAAAAAAATCGACAAACAGCGTTCTTCCAAACTTGGATATTCTGTAAATCACTATTTATTATATTACTCCCTAATGTTTCCAACTTTCACACAAATACATGATATATTTTTTCTGCAAAAAAGAGGATAGTACTACTGATAGGTAAAACTATACTTGATGTAATTTTCTGTCATTTTCTTCTTTGAAGCAGGGTAAAAATAGTCGTCGTGGTATGCTTTGAAGTGAATATTATAAGCTGAGCCAAGAAAAGCCAAGCAAATTTTCATGGCGATTTGGTGGCATCAAGGGTGCTGATGCAAATGCAATATTCAGGGGAAAAATGTAAATGTGAAACTAATGGGTTTAAGCTCAATTTTTTTGGTGTGTGTGAGCTTGTATGTAAGTTGTAAAATCGAGCTTGGGAACACACTTTTGAATCCTTCATCAACATTGATGTCGTGGTCGGGTGGGAAGCAAGTCTTATTACGTTGTTGGTAATGTGAGAGGAATTCATGGATTGCCTCGACGCTTTGATGTAGTTTTTCAAAGAAAGCAAAACGCATTACAAAAAATAAAAGGGTTTAGCTCTCTCCCGGAAGGGGAAGGAAGAAGTCATCGAAATCTCATTGAAACACGAGAAAGGGAAAATCCAAGCAACACGAGGACTAGATCGGATTATCGGATGTTTGAAATGCAAAAATAAAAAATAAAACCCACTTTTTCATGCATGATTCATTTTTACTAAAATTGTGGCACTAGCTATTTAACGATTAAGCATAATGTGGGATGTTTTTTTAGAGAGAAAGTATACTTTTAATTTTTCTCGTATTTTTCATACGATTCGATCATGATATAAATGTCCTGACTTTAAAATCCGTTTTTTTAAATTCCTGCCTATGTATGCACATTGTACTGGATAAAAGTCATCATCTCAGATACCTTCCATCTCAAGAAAGGGTTCGTAGAAAGTTAAGGCGACACGAGCTGGGACAGTTTACAGATGAAGTGAAAGCAAGACCAGCCTACCAATGTTTTAAATAAAAAAAGGAAGCTGCAAGAATAATTTAAACGTTCGTTCCGCTCGGCAGTTCTGCCGCCGCCAGTGCGGCCACAAATTCCACAGAGTCCAACTGATTTAATAATGGGCTCGTCATCATTCAGGGTTAGACGCCATAATTGGACAGGCAGCAAAGTATGACAGAGCCCAGAAGAAAGTGACTTATGACTTTACCCGACTTTATTATCAACTCGCCACCGCTGTTTCCTCCTCCACAGCGGCACGCATAAAACTTTAAAGTGAGGTTGACAATGAGAAAAAATGGGAATTGGGTTTAATAAATGATACAACAAAGGCCTAATGCAGCTTTCACGTTTCTGATTAACCGTGCGAATATTTTGACTAACTTATTCCCAAAGAGATGAGACACTTTCTTTTCTGACTACGCATTGTTAAAAATTTAGTCTTCCCGTTCCGCTCGCTCAACTTTATTCCAACCCTGCTCCGCATGGTAGGAAACGTGCAAAGTTCTGGGACAGTTTTGTCTAAGGGACTGATGAGAGAATATGGTGCTGGGCTGTGACAAAAGAATTATTAGGAAGAAAATGAGAATCTCGGGCCACCACATCTATTATCCAAAAGAGACACATTATCTTCTTCGGAGCACGGTGAAAGCAAAGTCTGCAGAACACAAGTTCAAAATAAGTTGGAGAATGAATACAATGACAGCAGCACAGCTTTTGTTGACTTGCTCCTCAACTTGGTCCTGGGTAGCAGCACATAGCAAAGATTCTTCTTTCTTCATGAAACTTTTATTGACGGAGGATGATCTTAATGCTCGGCAGCAATTCAAAAAAGCTATTTCGCCTACAAAAATAGCGTTAACCTTTGATAAATACATATAAAAAAGTGTAACTGCTAATAAACATTGGCTAAGAAATACAATATAAAATACGTATAAATAGTGTCGTTATTAAGTATATATAAAAATTAAATCCGGCTGAGCGTCTATTCATGCTTCACTTTTTATCTATATTTCAGACATCAAAGGACGGCAACACAACTACGAGCACGCTCTCACTAATTCCGAAAAAAGAAGATTCTGGGAAATATCTTTCCTGCAGGTTCGTTTTTAGTCATGTAGCATGTTTTCTTTTTAATGAGGGGATGAATGCACATAAGTCTCGGGTTGTCACGTTCCGTTCCAGTTTACAAAATACATTTTCAACTATAATCATGATTTTACTGAAAGTTTAAGCTCTAGATGCGTTGATAAAATGTATAACAAGTTATTTTATGTGAACTTGCAGAGCTGAAAACTCAATAATTCCGAGCAAGGTATTGGAGGACGGATGGGAACTTGTAATCCAATGTAAGTTTGCATACAGTCGTCACAATATTTGTGTTGAATATTTGTGGTCAGAATATTTTTGGCAATTTAAACATGATGCAGAGACAATATGCCTTTATGTTTTATTTATTTATTATTTAAATAACTCTAGCATTCACATCTGTTGTGGATTTATTATCGTGTTATGTATGTATAAATATAAGCTAATCGAACAAAGTTTGTTGATTCATCGGCGAGTTGAGTATTGTTACCCATTTCATAATAATGCTTGAAAAGGTAACAATACATAGACCTTCATCTCAGTTTGCGTTTAATCTTGTAGCATTTAATCTTGAGACATGTGCATGTGCTGCATACTTTCCAACTTTCAAGAATTCACTTGGAAGTCGAAATTGAAAGTTGGCGTTTTTCAAGCCTGCTTATGTACTTTGTAAGTAAGGAGACTGACGAAACGAAGCAAGTGAAACAAATCTCATTAACTTTACATGCAGTGAAGGCAGGGTTTGTTTGGCTCGTCCGTGATATTTGTCAACGGAGCTAATAAAAGTTCCGTCCTATTTTTCATTTGATTCTTGCGTAAACACGAAGGGTGGTAAATTCCACGGATTCGCAATAACAAATTCCTTTCACAACCGTTACTGAGAAAATGAAAACTTTTGAATTGATTCCACCTTATACTGTAGAATTGACGTAGATAAAAACAGTTCTTTAATCTTACATGCACATACATTTGTATTCCTACAAAGTGCTGTTCTTATTTTAGCATTTCGTAATTTACTCTTTGTTTCTGTTGTACATGATTCATCTGAGATGATCATATTCTTATGACTATTCCTAAGACGACTTCAGAATGAAAGAATTAGGCAACAGCAGCCCAAAATCTACAACGAGGGAGAATCTAGGATAAAATTGGCAACACTAAATGACTATAATCAGCATAATAAGATCGTATTGTTATTTTGGTTCGTTTAACACAGAAATTTTTCCAGTTCATGAATTAAGATTTACAGTCCAATTTCAGAACCTTGACTGGGCGTTGAATTGCAAATTTATTCTAGAAACGTGTTTAAAATGCATAAACCTCGTCTTTAAGTAGCAGTAATAAAATGACGACAGGATACATTTGAGACACATTACTCATTGATAGACAACAGTAAATTAAAACGGGTCGGAATAACACAACATCCAGTCATAACGGTTCCATAAGTCTTGGTTTGGCTAATCCTAAGACGTACAACAGAATCTGTTTGAAGCGGATATTCCAGTACAAAAACGATAAGCACGGATTTCAATTTAAAATCTACATAGTTTTGTTTTTTAACCATAACTTTTTAATTAGCTTTAAAAAAATAATTTTATCATCTCGTGGTAGTCTCGTACGTATGCATTAGTAACGCGAGCATATAATCATATGAGGAGAGAAGATTTAATGAAATAAATCTTTCTTCCTCGCTTTCTCCTTCCCCTCCGCATCCAGACATTGCCCACACCGGATTTCTTTTTTGGTTTCCATTTGATCCTGATTCATTTCCCTCGCCGCAGTAAGTCACACGTGAGAGAGGAAGGAATGATTGAAAATAAAGTAGAAAATCTATGAATCTAAATGAACGCCGATCACAAAAGTCGGCTGGAATCTTTTCCTCTTTCTTCTGTCTGTATTATTACAAAACTTGTTGCTTAACCAGAGAAAATTCAACACCAGACACATTCTTGCCTAACTTTCACGTGAGATTGTGTAACTTAAGCGTGGGTGTAGTATTTCTAGCTCTCCGCCAACAGTACTTTAATCCTTGCTTCATTTCCGTCAATTTTTCCCCTCCCAAAAACGATCATATTTTAAGAATTCAAATCAAATTGATTCATTCTCAACTTCAACTTGTCTGTGATCAATTTACATACATGACAAAAATAGGAAAATGGATCAATGCAAGGTGATGATGTAACGAGGGGAATCAATTAATGGGGCTCAAACATGCTTAAAATGTCAATATTGTCAACTAGACGGCTAGAATCCTCATCATTCTGCATCACTGCAAACCTATCAGCCTCAATGGCACACAAACTCAATGAGTGGAAATGGTGCCCGGAAATTGGACTGATTTGTTTAATCCTTTAATCAGATATGCCCGAGGCAAGGCTTCAGTTGGGATCATCGTTGAGTGGATCGTTCATAAAGGAGTCATCTGACGTGTATTTCTACATATATATTTATCAAACATATATATATACGTATATATATATATATGTATGTATTTCTCAATAGGTATTTCGACTGTTTGATCTCCGCCTTCCCCGTCGTTAGCCAGGTCAACTGGAGGCACAATGTGAGCAGACCTTCTAACATGGTCTAAATTATAAATTTCTTAGAATTTGTTACAGTTCAACTCTCAATTTAGAATTTACTTCATTGTCTCTTCGCTGGCTTATGTTCTTGATTTAATTAAATTGTTGCAGGGCAAAATGTTGTATCACAACATCAGTGCTGGAATTATAATGACGAACCAGAGTTTAGTTCTGCAGAGAGTGACGCGTTTGTCTGCAGGTAATTAAATTTCTATTCTTACCGTTTACACTCTTGTAGATAGTTCAACGGCTTGACATTTACAAATTTTTTCATACTAAAATAAAAATTGTCATAGGTAATTATTCCTGTATTGGACGAAACTCTGAAGGAGAAGGCTCAAGCCCACCGTTCTATTTGGACGTTCTGTGTAAGTACATTCTTTGCCTGTTGTAATCACTACAGCTTTGTGTGCAGGTAGACGGGAGAAGCCAATGACGTTAAATATTAAAGAATGCACCCGTGGGTGGGGAAATCCCTTATTATAGTTTTTATTTAAACCACGAAGGCTGACATAGCGGCACGTCACTGCGGTACAAGAGTTATCCTAAATGACTTGTTAAAATATTTATAGATGCGCCATCATGCAAGCCAAACCAAATCCGCGTCCATGGCGTCGCCAAATTGGAAAACGCAAACATTACCTGGTAAGAGAACATTACTTACATAACACTTTCATACACATGCACCAGAAGGATACGTAATTCAGTTTATCGCTGGAAATAATGCCATTGCGTAATGAACTTTATAGCGACGTGGATGCGAATCCCCAAAAAGTACAATTTCGGTGGAGTTTTAACAATTCTGCAGAAAGTTTAGAAGTCCCCTCGCAACGATTCAGGTAAGGCTATTGACAATCCATACGAAGTTTTAAGCACTTACAGATTATTAGTTCAGCGTAGTTGCGAATTTATATTTAATTGCTAAATTCTATAAGCTTAACAAATAAAATTACGAAAAAAGTTGGACGGCACACACAAAGAGAAAGTCATTAATCGTTAATCCCAAACTCAAAGTGCATACTATTTTAAGTTTAGAAATATATTTTCTTTGTTATCATATATTCTATGTAAAATTTTGAACTAATGAAATTGCAAAATTGCAAGTGCGCAGGTACATCATGGAATATGCATGTGTTGTAGAGAAGCCATAAACCATGAGCACACATATATTTCTATTTAATTGCACAGAGTGAAAGTTTTATTTCATTGTGTGCGCAGGAATAATCTCTTTCATGGATTATTATTGCAATAAAGATGTCTAACGCGCATGTTAATTTCAGAGTGTATTGGTTTTTCATGTTGACATCATTAAGCTTAATTATCATCCTGGAAAAGAACTGTTTGCTGGCAGATTCGTTCTCCACTTCATTTGGAAGTTCATTCGCAAGTTCATTTGCGTATGATAAGGACATGAGCTAAAATATTCGGCTGGGCTTAAGAATGATATTCTATATCTTATAAATAGTAAAATGCGAGATTAGCGTATACAATGAAATAGTCATAAATACAAAGATATGCATAGCACTTGCAGCGCAATAATGAAGTGAAGGATGTTAATCTGAGAAACATTTCCTTGTATGCATATTTAGTTTTAGTTTTATTTGAAGCAAGTTTTGTTTCAAATCTAGCAAAATACCATAATTTTTCAGTTCCTTCTACGTACATGACACAACCAGGACGAGGGTAGGATAATACTTTTGGCACAATGTCAACATGACAAATGCCGGAAATGAAGTTGTTTCACAGGGGAGCAAGATTTATCCGTCGTAGTTGCAACACAAGTTGTGAAATCCCACTCCCCAACCAACCAAATGAGTAACAAGTAACTTTTCTGGCTTAAAATGAACTAATCCATCAATGACATGACACTAATTATAGCCTACAAGCTTGACTTGGGTTTAAACGCTCCTGTTTTTGTACCCCAAAGCTAAAAGGATTATTAATATTGTTGCATTTTGCGACTCTGAAGTCTTAAGTGGGCAGTTGCTAATCTAATCTCAAAGGATTGAGCGTTGTTTGTGGATTATGAATCATTTTGCTATAAAAGAAAGTTGTTTGCAACCCTAATGGCACGCGGTTTCATATTATTTGCTCACTCGCTCTCCACCAATCTTTAATATTTACTATGTGTTTGCAATGCTACTATTTATTCCACCCGCAGACTGACTGAGTCGTTGGTAATGTTAAGGTGGAGAGGGAGGTTGAGAAGGGAAAGCCAGATACGAGGCGATATGTGTAAGATGCCGTATTATTATTATTATTACTGCACTATACGTAACAGCTCATTCACTCCTCGTTGGGGGGAGGGACGCCTTTGAGATTATTAAACTGCAGTTGTTATTTCCTCTTCTAAATGCAGTGCTTATTACGTCCACACTTTTGATTACTCTCTGGATCTGATCTACACAATTTCTTGCCAAGTCCGTACATGTATTTGCATCCTTATATATATACGAAGCACCCCTGTTAGTAGTATTTTATATCTATTGTGTGCATGTATCTATCCATGTATCAAATGGCTTTATAAGTAGTTAGTTTGTGGTTTATTAATATCGTCACTAATGAAGATTAAGCGTCTTAGCTAATTTGTAAAGGGATCTAAAATAGGGATGAGACTTTGTGTACACGAAGTATCAGTTTCTTTCAAATTTTATGACTTTATTATCATCTGAAAGTGTTCATTCTAATTTTATACCCAACTTAAATTTATAATATTTTCCAGAAGCGTTGGGACACGTAGTGTCGTCACCTATACACCGATGACTGAGCTGGACTATGGAACGCTACTTTGCTGGGTAAGGAAGACGCAATATCTACAATTATTCAATCCCAAGTCTTGTGTAAACTTGACCCGAATAAACTTTTTACAACACGATGCATTTTATTAATATATTATTAAAATGCCAGGCAAGTAACAAAATCGGGGACCAACGCGTGCCATGCGTTTATCACGTTATAGCAGCTGGTAATTTTCTAATTACTTTTGCAGTAGGGTTAGTTAGTTTTGCATAGAAAGTTGAGTAATTGTCATTGATTTGCAGGACGACCAGACACGGTGCACAATTGTACTGTTGCCAATCACTCAACTGATTCGTTCTTCCTCTACTGTACTGAGGGCTTTAATGGTGGCCTTCCACAGTCCTTCATCCTCGAGTTGAGGGAGTCACAAAGTGACAAACTTAAAGCAAACCTAACGTCGCACGTCCCAGCGTTTGCTGTAGCTGGCTTAGAACCGGGTTTCACTTTCACCGCATCCGTATGTCATTTTTAATAAATTACATAATGGCATAAGAATCGAACATTGACTTTAAGGTGTCACGTACTTACATTTTGTCACAAAAAACTCTAAATCAAGCTCGGTTATTTTAGTAGATATTTAAGTTAAAGTGAGAGTCAGCCACTTGGATTTAGCGGATTTATTACAAACACGAAGATAAATTAAAGTCATTTCGTTCGTAATTTCTACCAAAAAATTGTCCTTTCCTATTCATTCCATTATGAGTGAAAGTTGACACCATCTTTTTTCAGGTGTACGCATTCAACAACAAGGGTCGGTCAGAAGCTGCTTCGGTTACAGTATACACAATGAGACTTCCTGAGGTATGTAACCAATCATTGAATAAACACTACTAAATCACATAGAAAAGCAATTCAAGGAGTACAATTTATTAGTGAACTCAAGATAAAATACGAACAAGCTTTAGTAATTGCACAAACCACAATACTTCATTTTATAAAACGAGCTGGTCTGCATCAAATATTTTATGGATAAACATTTAATTCATAACATGTATGTATTAGAAAAGTAAATAATTCTAGTCTGGCAATTTAGTAATAAAAAATAAAACAAGATCTGTCTACATGATCAAAGTATTCACTATAAAATGGAATGAAAATTTAAACTTTTTTTCTTTACAGAAAATACTCACCCGAGAAAAAGGTACGAGATTTCACTCCCGCTTTCTCTCGCTTTATAATAAATTCCTAGGTGCTTAAAAATTCAACCAACCTGGATAGTTTCCACCTTTTTCATACATATTGCGAGTAGCTTCCTTCACAGACTCTTTTGAGTTATAGAAGATTAATACCCAAACCACTAACGACTTTCGGTTGTAAGAACACATATGCATTTGGAATGGGGCGACAAAATGACAAAAAACCAGCAGAAGAGACTTGGTTGTGCTGATTACCCCATGTACAAAAATACATTTATTTGCCACATGCACCGTAAATTTCGCCCCCATTGTTACTTACCTTGTGACATGGAAGTGGTTATATTCTCATGGGGAGAGAAATACCTGTTGAGACGCGAGTATTGCGGATGATGTCGAGATGAGTTGTTAGTTCTGGGTTACCCAATGCAATATTTTCCAGGGCGAAGCGAGGAGTGGAAGGGAAAAGGGGAAGAATTCTGCGGCATATGCTGGTTTGAGGGAATGTGGAGAAAGCAATTTCATTTCATTAGAGTTCTGCGTGTAAGATTAAGCTTGATCACGTTTGTTCTCTTCTTCCCTGTTCAGAAACAGGCTGGGGAACTACACAGAAAAGCCATCTCCTTTATTATTACACTTTATTCGCATGAAGTCGTAAAACATGGCTCATCAGAGGATATTATTTGTTTTCCTTTCCATCCCTTTGTGGCTGTGTGTGTGTGCGGTGTGTAAGTTTTGTTAGTTGGTTGTACATAATGGGCGCATAATTCAATTCTTTCCAGAGGCGTTCCTCATCCTCCTTTTCTTCCTCGCTTGCCACAACAGTGAGAAGTTTCACTTAGCATTCTCTTCAATTAAATTAAACTAATTGGAGTCATTGCAATGCGATTGCCCCCAGCGTTTAAAAAATAATATGAACATACAACTTTCCTCGTCGTCTCATTATTTAAATCATATTTCGATGTGGCAACCTCTGAAATCCTTGTTTTCTTCGTGGAAATCAACGTCAGCTAGAAAACTCGTTCAAAATCGTCACCTGTGGGTGGCTACATATGCAGATGTCTAGAAATGTATATTTATATACAGCCCCGTTATCCGAAGAGTCATTACGGTAAATTAGTAGATTGTTTGCGCGTGTAGCTGAGTAAATACTTAAGCCAACTACACCGATACAACTTTCGCACAGCGTTTTCTCCTGAAATCACTGCTAAGAATTTGACACAGTCAGTGCTTAACTATTTCAGTCTTATATTTCAAACTTTCTCTTGTCTCGAAAAGTTGACGGGAGTGAGATAAATATAGATCCCTCCTTCCGCCAACTCCAATCCGGAAACAAACCAATCAGAACACCTACCACTTACCTAAGTCGTTTCAAAGTGAGGCCTGAAGGGTGATATATCGTCTCTCACTTCTTGATAAAATATACTCGAGGGAATGTCCATTACTCAAGCCGTCATTTCTAATTTTGTGCTTTGTAAAAAGTAAGATCTCATGATGAATTAATGCTAGTCAGGCTCCGGGACTTGGTGCGGGATAAGTTTCGGAAGTGTACAGTCGGCCTTGTTGTTGTTCGTATGAAGGGACACGACAACCTCTGTCCACCACACGTAGGTAGGTAGGCAGCATGCAGGTTCATTTCCTAATCCCCAGTTATTAAGTTACACGTCGCGTCCGCAGTTGTATTGATATACGACCAGTAGATCCACTCTGGTCGTTAAGCCCTTCGGATGGAACTATGCAGGGCCGTCTATGTCCAAGTACTCCCACTTGAATATTGGCTCTCTTCCCCCTTCACTCTCTCTCTTTCTCACTCTCTCGGTGTCATTTGCTATACAGGTGTCCAACATTATGGGGAAAATAAAGCGTTGCGAAGTATTATGAATTATGATGACGGCTCCAATTATTATTATTATTGTTATTATTATTGCTAATAATAGATGTTAATTTGATGTGTTTTGTAGAAATACCACGAAGCAGTGCACACTTCCAACTTTCTCCAACTGTCAGCATTCTCATCGGAGTTCTTACTGCCTTGTCCATTGTCTCAATAGTAATTCTACTTCTTCGCGTGTACTGCACACGACGAAGAAGTCATGATCGTAGGCGTCGTGATAAGGCTGCAACCACTCCGCTCAAAATAGATGCTCCTGATGGCTGTGATGCGGACGAGAAGAATCCTGACGTCATCCCGCAAGGTAAGCTACATACATCATCACATAATGTACTTTTTTTCATCCGTCGTAACTACATACATAAATGTTAGATTCTGAGAACTGAGCTTTCTGTCAGTTCAGTATCTTACATTTTGTCCTTGAATTAAAGCAACTAGTTGCCACCGCGTCCATGTAGACGTATTTGGTTATGTATTATTTATAAGCATTTCATTACGTGTTAACGAAATTCAGATTGATTGACGACTTAAGAAAGTTTGTATCATCATGGCACATTTCTTATTAGAAAGTTGAGTATTGCATAAGTGCTAGTACAAATAATTAGTAATGAATGAGGCACAGCTTGTGTAACGAGTAATTGTCACTTTTCACAGTCTAATTGGAAATTTCTGTTATGTTTTTGTACATTTTCTACCCTAATCTACCCTTCTGATGTGGCGGACATGCTGACGGGTTTACTCCTAATCAAATGTTTAATGTTGGACGTGTGGGAATGCGATGGGAATTGAATAATCTGTTGGAATGCGGATTTGGCCAAGAAGATCCCGACGAGGTAGAATACTACCGAAAACGTCAGCAACACATATCTGTTTCGACGATTGATACCTCCTCCCCAGCCCGCGTTACCCCTGGGGGTCTTCCCAACTACTGCACGCTCCGCAACGGAGGAATCCCTCTTCAAGACCTCAACAATATTGGGACGCACATTGGAACTCGGCCAAATTTCATGGTGAGTGAGTTTCACTTTATTCGCTGCAGTGAATTAGATTGTGATTAGAAAGACTTATCAAATTCACATGAGTTTGGACGGGTCGTGGAATCTCAGTAATGCAAACATGACAGAAATCTTGCCAGACTTTTAAAGCCCAATTGAGTGTCCAATTCTGAGCTGTTTTTCTCGTGCAGTTTATTCGTTTACAGACCCATTTAGAACATTGCAAAGAAAGTATAAATCTAAACATTCCGATGCATTTGATTAATTAAATATTTTTTTGTAAAAAAATAGAAAATCTGAATCTCGCATATACATGCACAATATCCAAAATAATCTAAATACACAAAATATCACCGCCAGAGTTGTTTGTATCTGTAATCCTATTACACAGTGTGCACCACTCCAAGAAGAAGGGAAGAAACGGTGACCTAATTTTCCAGCCATATCTTAGACCTTGGAGTTAACGTAATTTTCTGGCTTTGGCTTTTACGACGAGGCAAGTGTGCCAGACCAGACGACTACTTGAAGTAATGAGGCACATTAATGTGTAGCGTATTGTTTTTGTAAGATGATTAAATGTTGCATAAAGTGGCTTGGCCATTCAAGCGAAGGAAACAAATTGCACTTAATGCTAATCTCTGCCAAACCAGATGGGTTGGAAAGCGAAAAGTAGTATCCACAATACGGTCGCATATCTATGCACGCATGTAGTATGGAGAGATGTAAAGTAGTAAAAGTTGGATGGATGTGGGGAAGAATACGGAAGTATAATCCCACCACTTTGGCCAAAAAGATGCGATCCCACACCCACTTCATTGGCTCAAAATGTTTGCAAAGTGATTATGCTCACAATTAAGCTCTCTAGAAGCTCCAGCCACAATCTTCTCAGCCCATTACTTCAACTTCTCATCAACATCAACGGGCTTAGTTCTAAACGAAATTGGTGTGTCGAATTTTGGGGCGACAGGAGGAGCCTAAATATTTCCCTTAATAAAATGAGCTCAAATTTAGTCACACCAATTTAAAGTCACACATATGCACCTTTTTCATTACACTTGTGGTGGGGCTGAATGTCATAATAATTTAGATGTTGGCCTTATCTAACAATCCTCATCATTTATAATCTACAGTAATCAAAACATTGCTGGCAAAAAAACGTGCCTAATACCCCGCAGAACTCATTGTATCATAATTACGGGGGAGTAACCGTTCGTCGGTATTGTCAAGCTTTAAAACAACCGATTCGTCCAGATCAGCATGAGTTATGGAGTATTTACTCAATTTCGCCAACATAAAAAAGGACTTAACTTCCTTTCCTTCTAACTTGTCGTTTCAACTTTATGTTTTTCTTGTAACTTGTGGCAGGCGGAATTTCAATGGTTTTATACTGACCACGAAATCCATCCAGAAAGGAACTCGTTCAACACATTGCATGTTACAAGTCCGATTATAAAAGTTGACCTGACTTTCACAATTCTACCCACAAATAATGTGCCCATATCTTATAAAATATTGCTTTATACGATATATGTGCATTTGCCTTCCTCCAATGTACTTGCACCATCTTTCATTACACTGCGTTTAGCGTATGTTTGTGGTGCGTGGACAAAAAGAAACCAAAAACTGTAGTCTCATTTTCCTATATGAGTACTTTTGCTTTTATGTTTGCTCGAGCGAACAGTGAGTGAGTTACATGCCACGTTATAGATTTGGTAAATGTCGCATGGGCCGACCACATGTGGGCCATTTGAAAATTTATAGTGGGATTATACCCGATTTGATCATTAATAGTGCTAATTTTGCAATTTATTTTCTTTCTCTGTCATATCCTTACCAGTTTTGGCGTGCCCTTGCCGAATGATTTATTACCTCTACTCCCACACTTCATTATCACCCTTGGACGTGTGTTGGCCCTCTGTTTCGTTTCAAGTGGTTCAGCCCAGTTTGTGCCCACGACCAACCACTTAACTACTGTAACCTCAGTTTCCCACAATACGTTGCTGCGGCCTAAAATGACCTGTCTACCTTATGTGGGCTTTCCTATTTATTCCACAAATCCATTCAGAGTTGCTGATCTCTGACAAGAAACCTTGTTTAGCGTGGTCTATATGCAAGACATATTTTCAACGCGATCCTGCAGAGCTCCATTCGAATAACTGTTCTCCGTAAGAACAAAAGAAGGCTGGAGGAGGGAACAAAGACGTCAAATCAATATTGGTAAAACAGAGGAGCAACATTAGCATGGGGTATTATTTGACCTTCATACATATGTATACCGCAGTCCCGCTGTGTTGTCTGGGTTTCACGACCCTCATGCCTCATGCATGCATGCATGTCAAGTCTGGCTGGAAGTTTAAGATTCCGGAGAAAGCACTGTGGCCGCTATTGGTGAATGAGGCCCAATTTGAATAATGCAATATTTCATTCAAATAAGAAAATGTCATTTTATTTGTTGGGGCTTTCAGCCTCTCATTCACATCACAACGCTGAAACTCGACCAGACAGCTTTGTTACAATGCGTGTATAGTAATAAAAAAGAGAGCATTTGTGAGACAAAAGGCTTTCCCTACTTGACGACGACGTAGAGCAGCAGCAGCGGAGGGATCTTATCGTCAGCCACATTTCCATTAAGTAATTCTCGACAAATTCACCACCCCGAATTCCATATTCGATCAGTGATGTACACGTCAAAAGGGGTTGGGAATTTGGTAAAGTTGGTAGAAAAATGTTTGAAAATTGCCCATCACTTTCACTTTACGAATGAGAAAAATTGTTGAACTTGCTTTCAAAAAATATAAAAATAAAATAACATTGCGATAAATGTTGCTATTTATTTCTCAACGATTTTACAGGGAGCAACACCTGTTTAGAATACTTAAAGTAGTGATATGCTTCAATTTACTGAGATTAAATAAGCTCCATTCGAAGTTACATAAAACGTACGTAATTTAGGAAATAACTCTGCTTCAGATTCAGAATTCGTATCATTATAGTTCGTTAAAGATCGAGGCCTGAAGAGCAACTCTTTATTTATGTCTTCTGCCTAAGTATGCACGGGGAGAAAAGCATGTACAACGTTGAGGTTTTGCTTGGGATGCAATTTGGTGCAACAAGCTCTATTTGACTGCCTGGAAATTCGTCTGCAGAACATAACAAGCACCCGGCTACTGACAGCTCTCGTTTATTTGATGCATGTTTGTGGAAAGTCTATGGAATTTAAATGTCAGTGCAGCATTATGGGTTTCGGAGAAATGCGTGTTGTTTTCTTTTGTTTTATTACATTTGACTATCGCACAGAAACTGAGGAGAACCATGCGGACTGCAATATGCTATGTGTTACTGCGGGTGTGGGTGGGTGGATGGGTGGTTCTCGTCTAACGGCCTACCTGAGTGAATCCGAAATATACAAATAGGTATGCATCTATCCGCACGGTGCAACGGAGACCGTTACGGAGAGAGATGGATGCATGGGAAAAGTTACATCTTTCGCATTAGGAAACGCGGAATCATTGAATTGAGTGGTTGGTTGGCTTTCCTCTGTTTGAGTTTCTCTAGTGTGGAAGTCGGCCTGAGATGCGTAAGTAACAGTGCTACATACGTTCGTATAAATGCATGCATGTACCTCAGGCAGGGAGAGAGGAAGAGTGGTGGTTGAGTTGAAATGAAATAAAAAACAAAGCTAATGCACACTGGTTTTGTTCGGCTGAAAGAAAGGAGGGAGAGGAGACATCCGAAATCGAATTAGTGGTCTCCCTTTACAATTTTACAATGCACTTTACTCTCTGTTTCTGTTTCCTGTTACGACTCACTAAAGTCTTTGTTGATGGTTTTCTCCAGCCAAGAAAAGTGGTCGTGGTTTGCTTTCTCTCAGGGAAATAAAGACGAAAGTAAAATATGCTGGTACAAAATGGATGCAGCCTGCGTGCTGGGTAATTCGTGGGTATGCGGAAGGGAAGATTGTCCACATGTTTCGCCAACTTTATGCATTATTATTTACTGCATATTTACATAAGAATGAATACGGTCTCACCTGTCCGTTGGTCTGATACATACAATTTAATAGCTTAGAAAAGTGTTACAAACCAATTAATGATATATTTATGATTAAATAAGTAAAGGATTTTGTAGCCATCCTGAAAGATGACAATATTATTGTAACAACTATTGGCTATGGGTGGCATCTGAAATGGTATGACGGACTATATGGCAGCCATAATAGAATATTCAGTATCCAATGGCTAGCTAGAAAGTGCACGATTACGTAAAATATCAAACTCGATGCAGTAAATTTTAATTTGCGGTCGGAGGGTTGACATTAAATAATTTTTGATGTGGAGTGTTGGAAGTGATAATGTAGAATGAGCAGCCGCGGTAGTAAACCTCACCGCACTTTATATGCATCTACATGCGTATATATTTATACATACAAACCTTGTGACACACGATTGGCAGTGAGAGTCCATTTCTGCGAGTAGTGAAGAACACAATTTGATGGTCCCTTTCCGTTGAAACATCGTAAACCTATAGTTACACGCAGCGAATAGTGTACGAAAGTAGCATCAAAAGATTCATAACTGTAGTCAAATCGGAACAGCTAGGGAAGAAAGTTCGTAGTAGTCCAACATCGTGTAGGACATCAAATAGACGGGCACTTCAACATTACACCCGGAATGTATTGCTATGCAGAAGAGCGAGTCAAAGTGGATGGATGAGAGTTGCGAAATTGCCCGAATAGAATGTGGGATGTACATCTTAAAAGCTTATATAAGCAAACAGGCTCCCACTGCCATTTCTGCACACTTTCACCCCAGCAGCCACTGACGACTGGAGTCTAACTGGCTAGATAGACTCACTACGTATATTTATATATACGTACATACATAGTCCCAGTTCCTGGATGGACTACATTTCCTCCACTGTGTAGCAGTCAGCCGATGCTACAAACACTCCTGGCTGATGTGGTTTATAGGATCGTATCGTATGGATGAGAGAAGCCAATTTTTCTAATGTGGGCACTCGGAACTTTCCAATTTCTGCATAAGATTGAGTGAAAACTGTCCGTTGCCATTTGGATGTTACATATTTCACTTTTGATAGTAAATGTACTTCCTCGTCCGTAATAACTACGAGTCTATCCGCATGCATGCTATTTTCAATCTGCCTAAAACACTTTCCAAAGTCGTTAAATACGAGGGTCATGTTTTTCGAAATTGGGTCGAAAGTCTCGTAGGTCGATATTTGGTTTGAACCAGATACAGAAATACATATCACTCTTAATATTTATTTCAATTGACATCGCTGAAAACACTTTTCGTATTTAGCCCATAAAGTTTTTGGGCGAAATGTAAAAAAAATCAGTGCAAAAAAACGCTTTTTGTTCAATTTGAGACGCTTATTCAGTGTCATTAAAGGCAAATTACTTTTTTGACAAGCCAAATGAAGATATAATTCCAAGCCTTACCCAAACTAATCCTTTGCGAGTGTTCTGATGACACTGAAGGGGGTAGAATCCTTCCAACCACAACAAGGTCTTACGTACGTAGTCATACGACGTGGTATGGCAAAACCCCTCTCACAGATCAGGGATCAAAGTAACGGTTGTAATATCAATGAAATTTTACGGCAAGTTAAATGTGCCTTTTTGCTCTAAATTGCAGGGACCTGAGTACGGGTCACCAGGATTTGGTGCCTGTCCAACCCTTCCTCGCCATCATCATGGACACGGCTTGTCCACTAATGTCAGTGCTTCCACTCATCCTCAACATATGTTGGTGGACAGTACTTGCATAACGGGTCACATGGAGTGGCCCACGTACGTAGGGAGAGAAGGTAGACAGCAGCGCCTTATAGGTGGTCCCACCAACATCCCACCCCCACCACATTTGCCAGGAGGGCAGAACCCCCGAGCCCTAAGTACTTTTCATCGTACTTCATCGCCCGCCGGAATATCGTCCCAAAGTGCGTCCACCCAACTGAACGCTTATGATATGCCTCCATTACTCCAAATCCCTACGTTGGAAGAGGAAAGTGAAACCATTTCCGAACTTCCTTTGATGCAAGACAAAATTGAGAGCACTGTGTGAACTAGTGCTCCATTTAAACATTTTTAGTGTGGTTCAGATGGTGCTTGCCCGCCCAGCAACTACTTTGACCCCTCAAGGCAAGGAGGACGAGGAGAAAGTTGAACTATATTCGATTACAACTTTGATAACGGAAGCAAAGATGTTTCGACATGACTTTCTCCAACTTTAACCACAACCAATCTCCACTGCACCGTTATGTGCGTGCTCCCCCACCCACCTTAACTCCAGTATCTCCCACCTCACCCCTGTTCGTTGGTAATCAGCAGTGTACTGATTATTTATAATAATGTATAATATCTAAAATACTTAAATATAATACAACTAATCTAACAATAATGTGTAGCTTAAATACATATATAAAATTCATAATATTTTCCATCCAATACAGATAATGTAACGTAGTGGGACCTTATGTTCGAGATACGATTTCAAGTTATGTTCTCTCAGTGAGTTGAAATGTACATAAATACTAAAAAATCCAATATACGTGTTTATCTTTGTATTTGCATCATGTCAGGGATAATAGTTTATTAAATCATTATGTAATCGATAAAACGATTTATTATTAAAAAAAACTAATATTGAAATCAAAATGTCTGGAATTATTTGCAAGGGACTCGTTTGAAATATAAAACCATTCATCCATCTTTTGAAATTTGTGTTGATTACTATTCCAGGTAATAATAAATCCAGGCAGGAAAATCTGGACGGCTACGTTGCAACATTTCGTTTGATAATTACCGCATGAAATGAATTTAATATGCAACAGCAGCTAGCGTGGGAAAATCACAGTCTGAATTTGAATTAAAACAGTGTTGTTGGATTGTGATGCTCCGACCGCGTCTTGTTTCTTTGGTAAGTATTGCAGGCATCGGAGCTTTGTTGTTTCCCTTGATGAGTGAAGGTTAGCGGCACGTTCTTCTCATTGTCCTCTCTCTCTCCCTTTGATTTGATGGAACAAAAACAAATCTCGCTTGCGGGGAATTTCTCCCATCATCGTCCTTTCTTCTTCCTTTACTATTTACCACACCACACGGTCGGTTATCTACTTGGTTGGCTGGGATCATCATCGCAGCGAGTTTTATGTGCCAGGAAATGCACACTCCACACGTATCATATTATTGACAGGATATAAAACAACATTCATTACTCTTCTCCACCATCCTTGTTCTTTGCCCTGAATGAAACAGAACGGACGACGACGAGGACTGCTTTCCCAGCCAAAAACGACATGAGCCTCATCTCGATCTACTAACCTTCGCCCACTCTTTCCTTCTCTTTCCTTGTTATTCTTTTGATAAGCTTCATTTTGATTTATTACGCTCTCAAGGGCTCCTCTCTACTTGCATTGTTTGTCGACACACACACAGGCCTCCTGGTTAGTTGGACTGGGCAGGCATCCTGGCTGCTACTTTGTGGCCTAACAAGAACAACGTGTAACAAGACAAACGTTGGCTTTGTGCTGTCACTCGATATTTGATGGGAGCTGCTGTGAGCTGGTCCTCTTTTCCTAACAATGAACCAGTTGGCAGTTTGGCTCGGACGTTGGCTGTGTGAAGGAGAAAGTTGCACTAATTCCTGATACATCCGGTCACGTATGTATACCATCGCACACTGGGTGGGACGTAGTAGATTAGACATTGACGACTATAGTAAGTATCCATCTACGTAAATACACACTGCTACGAGCCACCTTGGTTTCTCTCCTCGTTTGTCTTTTCTCCGTAAAACAGATGCCCACTTTCACGCAGCCCAGTCGAGGAGAAAACTGTCCTGCGGAGTTAATCACAATCACACGAAGGATGTGGTCTATTTTAATATGTAAACATGTTGGAAACCAACAATAATAACCTGGATCTTCCGGGGGAGGAATTTATTTAGAAGAAGGCTGAGTGGATGAAGGGTTTCCAAACACAAACACCCCATACGGCCTTTTCTCCCATGTTTCCTGAGTGAGAGACTGGTCCAAAATCCGAAAGTAACAAAATCGAAGGAAGCAGGAAAAGTAAACTCTAAAATTCATAACCTGTCATTTTCGACAATAGTTGTGCCAGCATGACTCTGGAGAAATTGATCCCCAAATATTTCATAGCGACATATTGATGGATTCGTGTCAGTAGAACCGGTAGCATTAGATGATCCATTTCCATTCATTCATATCCATAAAATATAATGCACAACAACCTTTATGGACAAGTTTACTCGTGTATATACGAGAAATATTATGTAGCCGCAAGAAAGAAGGGCTTTTCCTTTCCTCCGTGCTGGTGAGAAATTGAATGAGATTTAAGTGCCCAATTTTTTATCCGTGATAAATTGATCCATTTAATACACGTTAAGGCTGCTGACTGTACCCTAACCTACATCAGCATCCAAGGTTTTTTTGAGCTATGAAATGGAGCTTTTGACAACGTAAACAAACTGATTTGTATTGACTTTTTATTTGTTCTTGGTCGGGCGAAATTTTAATTGGTTTGCATAGATGTAGGCACAGATAATTCAATATCACGTAAAAGTATAAACATTTAGTTGAACAATATTTATAATCCATTTTACTGGAAAATTTGACAGATTACCAGTTTATGAATCCTCCTAGGTGAGAACTATATGCATGCGCACTTTTTAAAATGCTTTTCATGTTGTCAACTATACATAGATTACAAATCACTACTAAAGTGGGCACATTATTATAATTTTATTTTCATCAGGACCATAGTGCACATACAATTTGTTGTGCAATACACATATGTATGGCTTCAGTCCCAAAGGATATTCAAGTAGGAGATTTAAATGCAGAGGAGAAAGTGATATCGCTCTAAGCATTGAATCAGGCTATGCTACACATCTCTGACGGCATAAAAAGGCTGTCTCATCTGCCAAAGGACAAATATATATACATAGATACACAATATATATACATATTTATACACTAGGGGCAAAAAGAGGCAGGATAATGTCATACAGAAAACTTCCGGCCTTGTGTAAACACCTCCGTGACGTATTTTTGAACTAAGGAGATGAAGATCTCGATTGGATTCAAATGTCAAATAGGCAAACTTGCTTCGTGACAAAAATAGCAAATTCGCTACACATACGCGTCCTTCATTGTGATTATTTATACCAACCTCGTTGTTATCATGAAAAGATACCCGTGCAGAGCGACGGAGAGATGGCTGCTCTCAACTTGGGGTTTCTTAGGTGCTAGGCAGTTGCGCGGACAATAATATAATGGACAAGGGCCAAACGTGTACAGACAAAACATGTACACCTAAATTATGTACAGTTAAAAAAGGGACAGTAGAATAGATGGACAGAGCTATAACAGAGACATTATGTGTACCAAGTAGACATTTAAGTAATTGAGACCGGAGTCCCTCCTCAGTTTTGCACAGTTCAGTTACACACATTTCAACTGCTTCATGCGCTTACTAAGGAGTAATATCATGGAAAATTCGCATTTAGATTGTTGGCACTTATAGTAAACCTCAAAAAGGTGAAAATAAATTGCACCACCAGCAGTCGTATATTTGTAACAAATCAAGGCCAAGTGGTCGGAAATATTAGAAATGTCGGAATTATTGCATTGCTTAAAAGGAGCAGAATTAAACAATTGCTGCAATGCACCTACGAATCTATAATCTATGGTAAAGTTCTAACTCGTAAACACAAGTATACTATTCTTGATGAAAGGCTAAAAAATCTAGAGAAATATTCATCCCTCGAACTGGTAGATTTTCTGGATGAAGTTGTCCACAATGTGTCATGTGGGAACAAAATACGCCAGAATAGGGTTAACAACCTGAACCCAACGACCTTCTGGCAACTCAACCCGTAACTCAAACGCATACCCAATATAAATGTAAAGTTGCCACTAAAACACATGCAAGAAAGCCGTTGCGATTGGAAAATGACTACATACATATACATATGATAAATAATATAATATGTCTCAAAAAGGTCGAGGTTTTGTCCTTGTACACATTTAGGTTGTACACTTTTTTTCGTCCCCTAAATTTACGTCCATGTTTTCGCCTGTCCATTCTTTCTCCTGTACACATTTGTATTGTCCACGCAAGAACCGGATACCGGTTTCTTACAATAAGTAATTCATAATAACCTACTCTTATATAAAGGTTGAATGCAATGTGTACATCTATGTACTCTTATGTACGAAGATTATTGTGCATAATCCCATTTCAGATATGAGACCCAAATTGTGAAATATTTCGTATCGCGTATCGCAAACGATGTCCATGGAGAAAGTTCAGCGAGGGTTGGACGTGGTTGAGGAGTAACTTTCGTGATACCAGCGCTTTCTCTTCTCACCCGGGAAAAGCTGGGCATGGAAAGCTAGAAAGTTTCGTGCTTCCACCGGAAGGAGGGCAAACTTGCTTGTTTTCGGCTTTGTAAACTAGACGGCGGATGCTGCCACGATGCCCGATGATTTCTTCCTTGAATACAACTTTCTGCTTTACCCGAATAAAATTGACGCCACACAACTCATGACTCAAATAGGAATGTTTATTGTTTTCTGTAACCTTATAAATAATATGTAACAGCAAAGATATTATTATCTGAGCTGAAAATTCATTTGAATTTCACAGTTTTTAATACTTATCATCAAAGCTATTGATCTAGGTCCCGATATATTTATTCTTATTGTTAGTTATTTAATATACTTATACATATCTAGATGGTACAATTACACACATTGAGATTTAATTTTACAAAAATGTAACCTAGTATAATTCAAGTTTAGATTTCCATACAATTTGAACAAATAAATAACACGAATATTTTATAGTTCCTTTAGAAAATTGAGTATAAATAACTTGCGTATTTACAACAAAAATCTACTAATTACTTGTACCATCCATTAGCTGATGGTACGTTTTTTTTACAACCGTGTATGTTTCACATGGTTCCTACAAAAATTAGTCTTTGGTAGTGTACCCGGCTTCTGTATAGCTTCTCCTAATGTGTGTAAAGTGATGGTGGCTGAGTTGACCAATCAAGTAGCGGATACGGTTTGATAATTATGTATACCAAAAAGAAGCCGAATAATAATTACATGATACAAATTACATTATGAAAGACTAGCATTTGCAAAAATAAACTATGTTCTAACATCCCTATCAAGAACTTTATCTTCATTCCGTTATAAAAAAGACCACCATAATGTAACACAATAAGATTCCAATATTTATATTTGGAGCGTTTTAAAAACGTTAAAGCTGACATGACATACATATGTATTTACACATATTAATAGAATATAAGGTAGAATTAATTACTGTAAGCTATATATTCAGTATAAAATATTTTTGCACCGATCATTATAGTTTTTATTGTAGAAGTAGCGTAGTCCGTCTTCTAGTAGTTTCCACTTTCACCCAGAACTCCGACTCGTTCTTCGAACCGGACGCATCAAAATCTCATATTATTACTTCCGTTGGAGTAAACTGCGTGTGTATTCTCAGGTCGGATATTACATCGAACATATTCTTCTTGCTGTGAGGGTTTCAACATTAAACAATTAAACTTTATACAGGGAAGCAAATTTAATGGAACGGGTGTATTCGTGTAGAAGGCTGAGAATGCATTTTTCTGAGAGTTTAGTGGAAGGGGTTGCAGAGCATGCAACGACTAAATCATTCCTGATACGCCATCAATCTGCAGACTTCATTGGAAAAATCAACATGCATGCCATGCATACTAACCTTCAAGTTGAATAAATTGGTGTAGAGAAATGCGTGACAAACCACTAAATCTTTCATGCATAACTTGTGCTATTATGATCGGAAATGAGAACCCGACCCATGTAATTTGAGGGTAGCCAGGATCTTGTTAAAATTCCAAAGGTACACATACACACACAAAAGCAGAAAAACGTGCAATATATGTTGACCTTATTATTAGCTCAGTTTCACATGGACATGGCAATAAGAATGAAATAGCTGCATGAAATTTTAAATGTCAACCATGTGTATAAGGAATTGAAAAGGTCGAGTAAATAAGACTTCCGAGTTAAAAAAATCAATTGAATTTGCATATTCAATTTTAGCTATAAACATTCGTTACAAAAAGTGAGCAGGATATGAAACGATGTATTTCCCGTTTATGGTTTCTGGTCGATAGCGAGATGGAGAAACTACTGCCAGAAATGTCCATCACTTACAACGGACGACTGGTCACTTTCATGTTGCTCCTCTTGTACAACACGAGGTTTACAATTTTTGAGGCATTCCAAAGAGGCTTACAATTTTTCAGGCCTCACATAAGATGCCTGTTGCCTATTAACCTTGCACAGTAATGACAAAATTGCGTGTGTGGGCATTATTTTAATCTAAGAAATCCGAGAATCTACACCAGATTTAGCGAAACACTAATGAAACAGTGGGGCATACAGGCATACACATTGCACATGCAACTGTTTGTACATACATACGTAAGGAACAAATATGAAGGGAATTTCTGCACAAAAACATGGTAATAAGTATTGAGAACATGCAAATATAAAAGTAAATATAAAAGATTGAGAAAAATAAACGTGTTAATAAAATACAATTTATTGAGATGAAACGTTGAGAACAAAATAAATGGTACAACGGCCAGTGTGAGCAGGGTGTTAAACAAAGGAGAAGTTGTATACGGACGGAGCATTATAACAAAAAGTACAACAGTGGAAAATTAAACAAAGCAACGCATTGATCGGGATTGATTGGTTATACCGTGCTTTCTCTGTGCGGAATCTGGTGGATCGGGGAAAGTAAAGGTGTTCTCGAAGGGTCTACCTCGGAAGACGAATGAGGGTGGCTCACAGGGTAGTTTGGTAAGGTTTGTGTTTGCTGCTCATGAACTCCAACGGGAATGCACTGAGCAGTTAACAGTGGATCGATTTGAGCGTAGATTATAGGTTCTTGAGACATTGGATGCTGTCTCAGCGGGGCCCCATGAGTATGGTATGCTGGACTGCTTGGTAGGGATAGTTCGGCGTAGGTGACCTCCTCTCGTCCCTTAATAAATACGCCAAATACAAGAGAATGAGAAGAAGACACCAATTAGTGGGATTTGGGTCCCACACTAATACATAATTCAAACAGGAAAAGACTTGATCCACATATATGTGGCTATATAAGTATGGCGTTATAGCCGTACATACCGTTCTGGGGACACGATTCTTTACATTATTGACTAATTCAGATGATGAATTGGCGTCAGGGCGGTTGGCGGCTACCGTCCTGACGGCTCGTGGGATGGTTTCATAGAAGCGACTGGAATTGTTGAGTCTGTCAATTTCAAGAAACAATATATGTAAAGTGAAAGTCAGTTTAATATCATGAAATAGAATAAATCTGTAATTTGAATACCTTTCCAAAAATACTGAAAGTTAGCAAAAAAATGATCAATTCAGACATTGAGCGTTAGGAAATAAGGTCTCATAAATAAAAATATCTTACCCTTCTCGTCTGGATCCATTCCATCGATCTCTGCTTGAACAAACATCATAAATATATACATATTATTGCCACAGTTATAATCCGTCCCTAGCAAACGATATAATTTGTCTATCGTATTTAATATAGCTGCTTTAGTTTACAATTAGATGCATAATAAAATCAAACCCAGTTGACGCTTTGTCGACATAGTAAAGTTCTAACATCTCAACTTTATCTACATACTTGGGCTTCGCAATCGATATACATAAGAGATGAGGGATTTAGCTAATTAAGAAATGTGTTTAAATATGTAGGTTACACATTTGAGATGGTCATACTTTCATGAATGTGCTATTTTTTAATCTGTAATTTAATTTATTCATACAATAAGGCACCCTGTAACCTCCCTCCATTTACGGTATATGTAAGAGTATAGTAATACTATAAGAATCAGTGTATTTTCATTAAACCATAATTACCTGAACCATGTGGGACAACGTCAGGATTTTTGTCATCGGGATCCAAGATGTCATCCATTGACTTCTTAAGAGGAACAGCTGAATTGTCATGGTCTGGATTGGACTTGAACCCCCCTGCATTGTTTTTAGGCAGTCTCTTATCTTCTCCTCCATGCCCCTTACTTCGAATTACGAGAACAATAACTACTGCAAAAACATAATAAACAAGTTGTTACTTGACAGTGAAGCTTCAAAATTACTGCAAAAACTTGTGGTTATCTCAATATTCTAAATTTTTTAAGGATACATTTTTTAATAAAAGGTCGTGATATTTTTGTGCACGAATGCGAATGGTCCAACATTTCTAAGGAACTTACCAGCTACAATAATGATAGTCGCGATGATGGCAGCAATAACTGCGAGCACTGGGATCATCTTGAATCCGAATGCGGGTTTTATAGAAGATGCCTCTGAAAAAGTATTAAGAACATGAGTTTTCACGTCAGGACGTGCTATATTACAAACTATTTAGTCTGGTATAACTCACCAGCGTTAATACTGGTATGCTTTTCAGCCGCTTTAAGAAAATACAACATTGGGTTAATTGATGGTAATCAGAATTCGATGACATTAATCAGAATATACCGAAAGCGAATCACTTGCATTAACAGCAGATAAGACTAATTCAATATGGTTCACATGACACGATGGAGACAATCTCAGAGACATGGTCTCTGAACCAGATTCATTAGAAGCTATATTTCCAGGTGTTATTAAGTTTTCAAGGACTTCTCTTATAATGGTTTCTATTTATATCTTTACGACTGTAAGTGCATATGCACTTTGCACATGCGATTCGCTTTTAGATATGTAATAAGTGAGTAAGAATATATGTATGTGTGGTCTAACCTTTGAGAGTAGACGCTTGTAAAACTTGATAGAATAAAATACAGTTTTTAATTATTATATCAAATAATTACTATGCAACATTAAAGCTCACCTTGAGTTTCACTGCGTCCTTTATTGTTGGCAGCGTATATCCTGATGACATACGTGCTCCCTGGTTCTAATGTTCGGACATGGAACACAGGTCGTGGATTTGTCAAGTTTCTAAGAACCTGGCGAGATTCCCTGTCCCAAATTTCAATGACGAAAAATTGCTGCAGGCCACCGTTGAACCCTTCCACGCACGAGACAAATAATGAGTCGAACGTTGTGCTGCGGAGATTAAAAACATAGGACATTAAAGCTAATAAAGAATGCTGCGCAAGTGTACACTGTGAAATGCATGAATCGTTCATTGCTATGACTCATGATCTTACTTTAAAATTGAACAGTTGGATACGGCATCGGGTTTTCCGGCAGGAACTAAAACAAATAATTATAAATTTGCATTCACTTTCACTACATGGATTTTGAAAAGAATGAGGAATACTTACTTATATGATAAACACAAGGAACCTACAAAATAGTAAATATTAGTTTATCTTATTAGTATCGAAGGGTGAGTAAGAATATTTTACTTGGGTCAACTTTCACCGCATAGAAGAAATTAGACAATAACGCACTTACCTTTTGTGCCCCAACTGACTCATGGCTTGCCCAACAAAGAACTGTGCCGTAATCCAGCTCTGTCATAGGCTAATGAACAATAATCATAAGGACAGCAATATTAATAATTAAGAATCATAAATATTCACGACTCGTAAACGTGTCGAGAACTTGAATTCTCACTCGTAATCATCAATATTCGAATTGTCAACTCGACTCGACAGAAAAAATTGAGTCGATTTGTGATGCTTAGGACAACTAATACAAGTTGGAACAGGGTTATCAAGATCAGGGCTACTCGGCTTATTCCTGCCCAACACTCTGAACTACAACATGATTTAGTCTATAGTAAAGTATGTGTAATATGGATATATTTTTACCTTGTAAGTCAATGTGGAACGGAGTCGCTCTATCGTAAAATGGGATTGTTGGATGTCAATACTCTCAGCGCTGTTATTAAATTTCCATCTGTCGAGATCAAACCAATTGTGAATTTCTGGATCAACGGTTACCATCCGTATGGTCGCGTAACGAGACATTTATAAAGACATGTACAACAAAGATACATAACGAACCGAAAATGCAAGTCTGTATCTGGATTGGCATCAACTTCACAAAGAATTTTGGCCTGCTCCTGTCTAGCTATCCCGTAAATAGTTTGCTGATGAACTTTACAAACTGGAGCATCTATAACAGAAATAGACACAAAAAATTAATCGATATTCGGACTGTGCTCTCATTTCATCATCCTCGAGCGAATTAACAGGCGACATTCTGCGTTGCAATATAACATCAACACCGTCCAACTCCACACAAATTACCACAATATTTTGCACACACGATCAGACATTCATTCCAAATTTTAAATATGAGAGCATAACTCACATTTCACGTTGAGTGATACCGCGTTTGAAGTGCCATCCCCCTATTTGAAATGGTGAAAGCGAATTATTGCATTTATAAATAATTTGCATCATCTGTGTCAATAAATGTGGGTATGAAGGTCACCTCTTTATTTGTGCCTATGCAAGTGTATAATCCTGCAGATTTTCGTGTTATTGATTGGAGTACCAAAGATTGGTTGCTTATTATCACACCGGCAGACGCATTATGATGCAAAAGACGTGCCTGCAAACAGAGCATGCATACACAAGTTAGAGCTTACATAACTGATCGACTGATTGACGGTCAGTTTGGCGAAAGCCAGTTTGGCGAAAAAAATATTTTCGCCAATGTGGTAAAAAATTGTCATAAAAGTACTAAATGGCGAAATTATTGTCACATTTGGCGAAAGTGGATAATTCGCAAAAGTACATTTGGCGAAATTTAAATTTCGCATTTATTTATGTCAAATCGCTTGTAGGCCTAATTCTTGAGCTTTCCTAAGAATACTTTGACAAAGGTGGAACCAACTCAATTAATGTCTCTGTGAACACGAACTTTATAGTATCAATTGCCGCAGCCTCGAAGGCTGGATTTGAGAAGGATTATAGTTTCTGACGTTAGCTTTTATAAACTCAAACAATATTTTGTACCACTCTTTGTTTTTTTTAGCGAGAAGGGCATAAACCATTGGAACGCATTGTCCGCGTGTTCGGCTTATGTTGTCAATTGCTTCTTAAATGCAATGCATTGCGTAAAGTTGACCACTCCTTTTGAATATTTTTGGACATGATTTAAACGTCCCGTCACAAATCCATGTATCCGATGGTCCCCGGAGGGGTGAACACTCTTCATGACCATGAGTAACGATTTTCACAAAATCCTCGTTTTCGCCAAATGCGACATTATTTTCGCCAAAAGGTACTTTAAATAAAATAAAACTAACGTACGGTGAAATGCATGGAATTTGTTTTTCGCCAAATGGGATTATTTTTTGGCGAAAGTTTTTCGCCAAAAGTGTTTTCGCCAAACTGACCGACTACCGATCGACTAGCACATTCCCGAGGACGGGATGAAAAAAAAAGTTTATTCGTTATATAAAAAATTTAAGGCACAAAATGAGAATTCTGCAAGTATTTCATAATAACATTACCGCGGCCTTATGAAAGAGATACTATAAATATCAAGGAAAAGACGGAGCCAATTACATTTTGCCTCCAAGTTACTCTCTGAACAAACGGTGTGGCTTTTATATTGCACTCAAAATAGACATCGGCATTCTCTCTTAAAAACGACGAGTTCAAAGTGCTTCCCAGCTCCAGAGTTACTTGAGGGACGTCTGCAAAAAAAAGATACAAATTAACTTTGACTACACAAGTTGACTAATATTAGCAGAACTCATAGTTGGATTGGAACAGTCAGCGACTCGAAACAGTCTCTGAACCACATTTGTTTCTTTTGCTTGTATAATTTTGAAAATAACTTATGTAATACGCTAATGATAATTATATGAAATTTCGAGCAACATTTGATCTGATTATCTTAAATATGTAGCTATGAAAATAAATGATTTGACCATGCTGTAGATATTTTGTGGTATTTGTCTAGTTACATATTTTCATAAACTTATTCGTAGTTGCGTACAACTTTCTTCAAGCAAATTTTCATATTCAATTGACGTGTGGTAGGTATAGGAGGAGGAAGGGAGGAAGGATAATCAGGAGGAGAAAGTTGTTCAGTGAGGCAAACATAACTTGAAATACACCTGAGAGAGCACACGATGTCCTTTGTGTGCTTTGTATGCATAAAAGCGCTCTCAAGTGTTAAAAGAATATACAAATTGTGTCAACAATCCATTCCATCATCTCCCATCTTTTTGTGGAATCCATCAACAGAGATCAGTGGGTGGAAAATTGAAAATCCCGAGCTCATATGACACTGGTGCAATGAATTTGAATAGAAATTATCGGAACGCGAAACCAAGAGTATCAACCAAGGGTATCTAAATATGTTGCAAATTTGTTTCCAGAATCAATACGAGTGCATACAAATCCGGTTTAAACTATGTATATGGTTATTTGGTTATGTCACAAAGAAGAAAGTTCATCTCCGTTACCGTAAATCCCGCTGCCAGTACATAACCCCAAACTGGATACGATTTTTAGCTTCCTGTTAATTTTTATCCAGAGATATTTGACTAAAACGGAACGTATGGATTTAAAATTTCCCTAATATGCAAATACATACATATGTAAGTACGCACATGTGTTTTCATTTTGTGGTTAGACAAGAGTAAAACAAAGTTGTTTCATCCTAATGCGGATGTAGCCTGTCTCTTGCGCCATGGAGGGCCACACACCTCATCAGAGAGACATTACTCACCTAATCCTCCGCAAATGACAGAGATAAAACGTGGTTGCCCACTGTCATCAAGAGAGCGACAGGAAGGCTCGGAAATTAAAATACTTGGGACACCTCCTCCACACAGAACTCGACGTGCGACAGGGAGAGCGAGTGAAGGGACCGAAATAGATGAAGCCGCACACAAAGCCAGGGATGAGCAGGAGGCGAAGAGGATGACACCGCCACGACGACCGAGGGAGAGAGGAAAGCAAGGTGAAAGCAGGGAAGCGAGGGAGGAAGAAGCAGCACAGACGACGACGATAGATTGCTCGCCTTGGACTCGGTCTTGCTTGAGCCGTCAGACGACAGGGAGCTGGGTTTCGGATTGAGGAGACTGTGGCGAAATGTAAATGCGATTTTCCAACTCCCCTGAAGTTTACACATGAGTTGGTCATCTAAATTCTAAAAGATGGTTTATTCCGCTCCACATCCCTCTCCAAAAGTCCCTAATTACATTTTACTTTCACAATGCCACAACTCGCAATTACGGGGAATTTACTGGGATATATGCTGAATCTATAAACATACAAGCGAGGCGAGGAACATCAATTTGTAGAAACCATCATTTGTACATACTTATAACTTTGTTTTCGCAGACAGGAAGAAGAGTGTGGGAGTTGTAGTACTACCTGCAATTATCCACGTGTAACGACTTAAATCTGAACACACAAACCATTCCGAGTAACACTTCTGCTCTACCATCGATCAGGCATTATAATCATTGATCCGGGCCAAATATTGTCCCACTTTCTCCTTGAAATATGGCCACATTTTGGTGAAGACTAAAACACCACTCTTTGGGAATTACTCGTAGATAACGTGTATGCATCTTGTATTACATTATTATTTCCCCATATTAAGAAACAATAAAAGTTCACATACTTGAAAGTAAATTTTTGTTTGTGTTCCATGCAAAAAAAAACGTCGCACGTGACATGATAATAATTTTGTGCCTAATGTGCTAGTATATTTGTGGAATCTTGCAGTAACAACGTACGTACAGCCTACACATATTTACACAAATAGGTATCTGGTAAATAGGTACGTACGTTTGTAAGAAGTGTCAGAAGCTCCATTGAAAGAAAACAATTTGGGTGCATGGCTGTCGTGGAGGATAACAAAGATGAGAATCTGGTGAAGCGAACATATCATAATAGTAGATTCAAAAATAAGAATCTCAGCCGCAGCAGCCTGCCTCCACAGGACTTGAAGAATTGTTTGAAGAAAAAAGGAAACAAGTAAACAACGACACATCGGGGGTTAATGTTTCAGAACACATAATGAAGTTGTGTAATGGTTTCTTCACAAGCCAAACTGTTGTTGCAACTTGCAAACCACAACAACAGTTGCAAACTGAGATTCAAAGTAGGAAACCAACTGTGTTGAAAGAATTCTAGTAGCATTTCCATTTTTTTTCAATCTGCACAAGTGAAAAGTTTCACAGTCCCAAAGTTACGGTATCCAGAATGAGAAAATGGATTCAAATCCCGCAAATTTTTTGCTGAATTCAGCAGTAACGAACTATACAATCCCTTTCACTTATACATACGTACGTCCCGTACATATGTACGTATATTCAGTACCAACACGAGGACAACCTAAGAATTCTCTTAAATCACAGCCCTCAAATCCCCAAATTGATACTAAATTTCACATATAAAATTTATTCAATTCAAAGTGAATGATCCCTATCCCCCTACCTCCGAACACCTAATTTCGTTCGCTATGAGGTCGACAACAGCCATGGAAAAATTCTCCTTCTCCCAACTAATTCGCAAACTCCTTCTTTCCTATTTCTGACGCACTTGCACAAATTCCGTTAGGACCAGATCAAAAGCAGAATACTCATTCAAATTCACAATGCAAACCAGAGAAGTTGCAAACACTGAATCCACCATTACTTAGTATTTACTTTCATCGAAGCCTCTCGTTCTTTTTCATTTGCATTTTTCCTGTATCCCTTACTAAACTGGTGGTTCCAGTGCAGGAATGAGGAAAACTTTGGTAATCTGCAAAAACGTAGAGGCCCAAGTAGTGGCATAGCGTCGTGGTGGTGGTGGTGGAGAAAGTTTCTGACAATTGGAGTCGCCAAAACTCTGTCTGAACGCTTTGGGAATTGGTGGCGACCAACCGGCCGCCGCAGACAGCAGACGCGAACCTCCTCCTCGTACTTACTCCCCAGCAGCTTCGCCAACAATTTTGAGTAGTCGTTGCTGCTGGTTTTCCCACTGGTATGGAGAGGAAGCAAACCTCATTTTATTCCAATCGGAGCAAACGATGCAGAATTTATTCGTGATGGAATTCGAGCATCAACTAAGCAAGAAGAAGTGAAAGAAGGATCAACCAAAAAAAGCTACATCAAATCTCTCCCAATTGAAAGACGACACGAGAGAGAGGAGCGAGGAGGCGGGAGGGTGGGATAAAGTATTTCAGCATTCACGGGGTTTCACTCACTCTCGCTACGAGATTTTAGTTTTCCTCTTCCACTAATATTTTAATAAATTTTTCCTTTGATCCTTCTGGGCCCTTTGGTTTACCTCAATTCAATTCTAACAACATTTGCTGTGAACAAAGTTTGCTTTGTCACACACACAACCAAGAAAAAAAGTAGCAGTCAGTTTGGTTCGGTGGCCGGAGAAAGTTTACAAAGTAATTTTCCCAGTTTTTTCTACATGTAGAGGATGAAGCAAGGAAAAAAGGAGCCTGGGGCGTCAACTTACAATGAATATCCATTTTGAAACCATCCTCAATTGTGCTCCCAGGTATCTGGGGGTTTTCTGCTTGACATATTAAGGTTTTCCCCATGTCCTCCATCGTCGGGATGAATGTCAGCCGGCTAGTTGTCACGTTCCCATCAGAGCTCGTCTGCAAAGTAATCGTCAAAATACATATTTAACAATTCCATATACATAAAAGCGAGTCACTGACTTTCACCAAATGCATTAACGACGTTTGTATGCCAAATAAAAATAGAACTGAGTATGCAAATCTAACACTCTTGTTATTGCTCGTAGACTTCTATTGGCCGTAAAAAAAACAGTTTTTACAGCCATTCATTTATACAGTAAAATCAGTCATTGGGTGATTGAGGATCGTGTTACTTGTATCAAATAATAACTTCATTTTTCATCCGGCGTAAGAAGTGGATACTTAGGATCAACCTAAAAATGTATGTAATTCAAGATAGGACAATAAAGTACGAGAAGGTAGCATTCTGCATTTATCATTTAGTGCTTTGAGGTAGTAAGGATGCGCACGATGTGGGACATATTTGAGCAGCTATGTTTGTACACAGGGCGGAGAATAGGCTTACGATAATCATATACTTCTTTCATTTACGACTGTCAAAAAGCTCTACCCAAGAAATTGACATAACGGGCTAAGTAACGGGCTCAGGATTCAACATTATGGAAAGAGGACGGGTGTAAATTGCTTGGAAAGGAAAGCTTTCACTCACTCAAATAATACATTAAATTTTCACTCCACTTGGCAATTTCAAATTGGCACTCTACTGAAAGTAACTCACTCAACTGCGGGTTTTCGCAAACTGCTGCTTTCGACCAACCGCTGTGAAACTATTGCCTTCCTCTTAATATTGTTTATCACGAACGAATCCCAATAACTCTAAAATATTGAGCGTCACTATTTCTCAGAGTGAGCATACTGTACAGTTGTGTGTACATAAATGGCACACAAAATATAAAAAAATATCTAGGCGCATTTATCCCATATTCAGCACTTGCACTGCTAAGTGAGACCAAGAAGAGAGAGACTACAACCAAAAAATGGAGTTTATCTTGATTGACAGACAACTCAAACTTACAGTTTCTTTGTGATGCTTGAGACGCGTGCTCCCTTTCAGCCAAGTTATCACTGATGGGGGCCTTGCTCCAGTTGATTGGCAGTCGAGGGTGTACTCCTTTTCTGCAGACAGGGCTGGTTTCCCATCCAAAATTTTCACATTCAAAGGACGAACTGACAAATAGAGAGGTAGAACTCGTTATTGTCATTATTCATTCATTTTCATCAAATAAATCAAATGCGACACTTTTTTATAAAAGGATTGTCTTATTGACACAAGATTTCCATTTCAATAATTTGATATGTTTAGAGCGAAAAGATATAACCATTTACTTTTCAACACAAATTCAAGAGAAAATCGTACTCTGACTGAATCACAGCATAACAAAATGGTTGACCTCAATAAATAAATAAATAAATACTTATATATCCTTTTTAAATACTGGTGAGAAATGCAGCACTACGCGTAAGAACATATCCTAACGTTTAGGTCGGCAGCAACTTGGTTAAGTAATTCTTCGCACAAAGGCAATTCATGAAAGTTGCTGCGTCAAAGTTGTATATACAGTCTTGAAGTGAAAGCAATAATGTTGTGTCGAAGGCTGTGTGAGACAGTTGTGATTACACCAAGTATTTATTGAGTTAATTCCCGTTTATTGCATGATATATATGAGCGAGAATGCTGAAACGACCAACCACCATTCTTGGTGTTGTTTGAGGCTACCAATCTTTCGTCGTTTCTGCACCACGCGAAAATTGCATCGCTCGAGAAAATTTGTAGTGAAAGGAGGATGACTCCTCCGCAAGAACAACAACCAAACCCAAATTCGTATTTGCGATGGTGTTGTAAGTTGAAACCCAACATCACATGAATTTCGGAGGCATCAAATACATGTTTATTTATGTGTTTGGGAGGAAAGAGGCGCTTTTCTGAAACTTGAATTTTACTTTAGAAAATAATAGCACACTGTTTGCAAAGAGAAATATACTGCACGTTGGCACCAATACATGCGAGGAAGCAACGGATGTTGTACGGTGTCGAAGGGCTGCTTTTATCGTTAAACAGCTCTAACTCGTTTGTCTCTGAGGATCCTCTGCATGAGCACGTTTGCAGCAAAAATTTCCCAAGAATTATTTATGCGAAATAAATACAAATTGCCGAACCTAGCCGCATAGCTCAGCACCGCCGCTTCTGCTGCTGCTGCTGCCAAACCCTAACTGTCTGCAGATTTTATGTGCTTAATTTAAGAACACTGCCACAGTCACGATGTTGTGATGTTGTATGGGGACCATTGAACATGATTTATGAGGGCATTAGTAATACATGATCTGAAAGGAGGTTGGTTGGATGTTGGAGGTATATCATCTTATTCACTTTCTCCACCTAGGACTTTCACGTGCGCATTAAACTACTACATACCTACCTACACGTCCATAGGCATTATTTCCTCAGGCTGAATTTGTATACCTCAGTCGTCATCTTGTTTGGGTTTTGTGACTCCAATAAGCACAATACTTGTTTGTAGCAAGAAGAGATAAATTAATGAGTCTTACAATTTGTTAGGGAAAGCTACATACGAGTTCACTTTCTGGTGCGGATTGCTCCAGGGTCTTGAAAGTCTAAGCTTACTTGTATGCTTAACGTATAACAAGTGGAAAACTAATCATGCCAATAAAGTTCATATTTGTGCAACGAGATGAAACTAAAAACTTGGCGTGCAACAGACTTTTTTCAAGTTTCGCTGCAAGTGAACAATGGAAACCTACATCAGCCATAAAAATAAGACTATAAAAAAGTTATTTTCATTGTGTAACAAATATCCTTCCCAGATTTACGAAAACAGAATACAAAAAAATATAAGACAGCAGCTACGTACAACTTGCACCACATTTCTTCTCTCCAAATGTATGTAGAAGATCAGCACAGAGTGCAAATAAAAGCCATTTAAATGCAGTGGACTCGTAATACCTCGTATGTATGTATAATATAAACCTGCAATTGCAGACCAGACCAAGAACTAGACTACTTCGCTTGCAATGGATTACAAATTGAATTGTAAATGCAAACACCGGTGCAATGCAATGATGATGCAATTCAATGCAGCGAATTGAGGGAAAAATTGTTCCCCTCCTCAAACTCGTACCCTATAAATAGCGCTGGAAATAGCCAACCAAGGGAATAATGTTGCATACATACCTTCTAGAAAGCATCCGAAGGAAGAAAGTTGTTTAAAGCAGTAACGAGTATGTATGTATGTAAATGCTTATATAAGCTTGAATCGTATCTTATCTCCAGCCTAAAATTGTACGTCCAACCAGGCCTTCTTAACACGATATGTTATACCGGGAACGCACGGTGTATAATAATGTTCCTCGTCCTTTGTGTCTGGACATTCAAATGCAGGGAAAAAACTCCCGAGAGAAATGAGGGGATAATAAAGCTAAAATCATAAAAAATAGCTTAACGTCACTGATAAATAAGGTTTGGTGTGGAAATGCACGCACGCCATGAATATGCCAGCAAGTACTTTCACCTTGTCTCGTAGCGCACTAACAAACAACGACATTTTTAGGTTGATTGAGTCAATTTACATTCAAGCTGGCAGATAGATTTACTACATATGCATGCAGAGGTGGGGGGGGGGGATAATGGATAGCTATAAGCAGCCCGAAATTTGTGGTGCGTAAAAGTATCAGTTAAATTTGTCCGTGTTGTTGGGAGGAGGACGATGAGTGAGGGTGGAACGGAAACATTTGTAGCTCTTTTCAATGTTTTTTCTCTCTTTCTTTTCACTGTGTGGAGAGTAAAGAGCAAAATGCAAACGAAACATACCCCTCGCTCTCAAGCAGAACTAAGCAGGACATTTCAATTATTTTGGAAATGAATTCGAGAAATGAAAAATTGATCAGAGGGAAAAGCAGACGTTTTTAGGGGGAGCTTATTTGATTCAACGGAAGAACATGCATTTCCTTCAGTCCATTTACTAAAATATTGCCAGTATTTGAGTAAACTTTTATTATTTGGATGTGGCTCTTCTAAACTGGGTTCTTCAGTACATTGATATGTACATACACTTCACATGAATATTCTTTCCCTTCATTTCCTCTTGTTTTCAAAATAAGCATAATCTGCAATTCAGTTTAGAGCTGGAGATTTACATCTGTAATCAGGGAAAGTGAAGGAATAATAGTTTAACTTGATAGTGATGAGAATGTCTAATAAGCCCTCGTGTATGCGTACATAAATATGAATATATTGGAAAGGATCCTGCTTTAAGGTTTAATCCCGAACGAAAAATCTCCTTGAACTAATGAAAATACCATAAAGAGAGACATCGTGCACTTGTATATGCAAGTACATATATGATTCCATATCCTAGACCATTCATAGATTGAAATATAATGCATACATGTGCATAGCTTGGTCATCCAATTTTTTCAACAAGGGATCAATAAATGATCCCCCAAATACGTATTACAGAATTATGTTGATACTTTAAAAGATGGAGAAAAGAATGGAAGCACAAGACACAAAACAAATAATACATAGACCGCGTATGATTTTAGACAGTGCTGGTGAATATATTTGCTTGAATTGTTTTAAGACTCGACTACGCTTTACATGTGTGGTAGTGAAATATATACGTAAGTAAATAGTACCATTTTTCCGATCCCCTTACCCATTGTTGGACTGAATAGAGTAGTCGTGGCCGTGGTATGGACCGCAGCAAGGGAAGTGAGAATATAGAAAATGGGCACAGGGACAGTTGGTTCGTACGAAGGAATTTATGAGTCCTGGGAACCATGTAACATTTTCGATATGAGAGAGAGAGCAGCTTAAAATGTTTGGACATGATATAATGCCCACTAACGTTCATCGCTAAATGCAATGTGTGGAATTGGTTCTTTCTGACTGCAAACTCTGCTAATACTTCATCTCTCTCTTTCTCCCAGAGAAAGTACGCAGCGCAACGCTCCCAGTCTCAAAAATATTACTTGTCCATCCTCACGATCCTACCATCACTTTTATCTGGACTAGTCGGACAAGTTTCAAACAAAAATTTAGTTGAGGTGCGTACGATCTTTTACTGCTTTCTCTCAATCCACTCTCCAATCTAATCTCGCCGCCCTAGACACACACACATACGTATATCCCACATATTACAGGGCAGATATAGTAAAAATTCCAAGTGCCAAATGCCTAATAGGTAATAATCATATTGGGTGGAAAGCGTCGAAATTAACCTTAGCGTTGTACCACGGGCTATGATTAATTTTAGTTTTACCGTCCCAGCATAAGGAATATTAAATGTCTCGTGAGTCTTGTTTCCTTCCTGAAAAGAAAGTTTTGTCTGCCGACTCCACAACTAACCGACGCCATCGATATATCCAAAGTCGATATAGCTATCCATAGTCGACATGCATTATAAAAGTCGTCATGAGTTCTCCAGAACCAAAAACTATACGAATTTTATATTGCGCATAAGTAAGTATGTAGGCATACATAAATGTATATTCTTCACATGCAGTCTTCTCAATCGGGAAACCTTTCCAGCAAGTTTTTAGTATAACAACCAGTTCCAACGAAATTACTCTTTCCATTAGTTACGAAGTCCATGTGTAGCAATATTTCACGAAAATTTATGTATATGAACTGAAAATTAGGACGCCGGCTTTTACTTTCATCTCTCATATTGTATTTTGCATCCTCGAGCTGATTTTCATTGCAGATAGGACGACAACGACGACGACGATTTTAGCCTCGTTGGATATATATGTATTCAGTGGCTTGATACCTCCACAAAATCTGCCTGCGTACACTTTCATCCAGCAATTGCTAAAATGACGCTCCAACTCTAAACAACTAACTCTGAGCACACAGTTCAATTTTGCATTTTGTACTTCAAGCCGCAGAACACCAACAAGGGCCTAATTCGTTTTTCATGTGAGAGGTGACCTCAATGCTAGTTGTGTCATTAGCTCAGTTTGTTCCATTGGGCTTAAATGTTGTTTCTCTCGGCGGTGCGAGAACGAGGGGAAGTTTACGTGGTGGAAGGGCTTCGAAAGGGTGAGTTGAAATTAGTTGAACTCCGCAAAATGTAGACCAAGCACCAACCAACGAACAACAGCAGCAACAGCGTAATGAACTAACAAGACTCATATTCAATGATTTGGCATTCCGTCAGAATGGATTGCGAGTTTATTTGGTCATTCATATTCAAAACATGGCCTTTGGTTTCAGATTGACTCAAGCCCGGATCATAAACCTGGCGTAACACCAGTGGTATATTACCAATGCTAATTACGGTAATGGTATAATTTACATATAGTTTTAAATTGAGCTTGCATGGTACATACGCTTTTCTTGCTAAGAGTCGAGAGTAGTATGAATATTTGTGACCTGTTTAGCACCTGTTTTCACAAATTATTATTACTTCAAACGTATACATTGTTAGCGAGTCAAACAAACAAGTACGTCTTTATGTACGTCAACATTTGGGCAATTATTTCTATTTCCCAAGATTTTAAATTGTACACAACCATCGTATTAATTTCGCAGGCCTTTTTGCCAACAAATAAGTACAAATGGGGCAATAACAGAATCTCACATCAATTTCAGCAGGTTTTAATTAACTCCATTCAAAGATTAGTAATTTGACTGGTAGGAGCTGGCCGTATATATCTTACTGACGGGGACGTAAGTATGTTTACGTCCACAATAGTTCCTCGCCCATGGAGGCATATCATGCAATATATTCTCTGCGCTGTTCCGTGAATTGAGCCAACTTTTACTGCCATGGCGGAAAATAAATGAGCTGCTATACAACAAAATACATACAAGGAGAAAATTACAACAACCATCTTGGCTCTTTTAGCACTCGTCACAAAGAAAAAGAACGTTGAGCCAAACTTGGAAAAATCTGGGTAATAACCTGAAGCCATTAGCGGAAATTAATGTAGTGAAACTAACAATCTCCCTTCTTTGGTTTAGTTGGCGAAATTCTGCATCCCGCTTGCTTTATATCCTGCTTTTATTGCATTTTGAACTCCTGTTTGGTTTGTTAGTTCGTTAGTCTGGACCGAGATTGGAGACGACCTAATTCTCCATGTTTTTTTCAATATAGTGGTTCCTAAGCACTCGCATAAAACGTAAGAGTGCTGGAGCTGTTTTACACAGAAAAAAATGGTTTTGCTACCCTCAGGAATTAGTAAACACACAATAGCAAACACTAGATAGATTTTGGCAAAACAAGGATTTCTTTGTATTGCCAAGCTTTGTTTTCTGTGGGTAATTCTAATCTAATGTCAATGTTGTTGACCAACAACCCATTCAAAGAAATATAAAAACTATACGACCACAACTACGTATGTAAGGGCTATTTACTTATGTATATCTGGTACAGTAGAAGGAACCATAAAACCATTTCAATCAATCGAGAGTGAAGCCTAAATATTTATCACGAGATAAAAACAACATCAATACAGATACATAAGAAAACCATAATCTAGCGAATCAGTTTAGTCCTCGTTGGTTTATTCTATGTGAATGCACCTCGGATCATGATAATTATTCTACTTTTTCTTTCCAAAACTTCAAACTCAAAGAATATCTTGAAGTAATCTGTATTATTTACTGAAAAATGGATTATAGTCACGCTATTTTTAGATTCATAGATCTGTCAGCGAGTCTGCATGCATGCTAATAAACTTAGACCTGAAACTTGTGGTCTACAGTACAAGCACAAATGTACGGCTGAACGGGATTATGGAGGGGACCTCCGTTGTTAAACCACAAAGTCTGCATTGCCTCCGGATTGAAATCATAATCTTTATTGTTGGTACGACCCCTGCAAATAATTTGATTTCTGTTCTCAAAGCTTCTTTGCAATCAATTCCTGCAGGAGCAGAATTCCTCGACATGAGTGAGCAAAATTCACCTGTCAACTTGTGATTTCATGATAATGAACAAGAGGAAAAAAGGTAGTGAATAGCGGAAGCACGAAGCCTTCGTGAAAACACGAGAAATCCGAGATTACACATCTCGATGTCTGAACAAGAAAGAGAAAGCACGGACGGAGAAGAAAAAGGACAAAAGTAAGCTATACACGCTCCACTCTAACAGGGTTGTGTGTGGGTATGTATTTATACTCGTGTACATCGCACGATATGAGAATGGTGAGAGAAATCCCTTTTGTACGAACGATTAAAGAAAGGAGGTAAAGACTCTCGTCGTGCTCCGTACAAAGATTTCAATTGAAAACGGAGTTTACCACCAACGGAGTATTCAATGTTCTTATTTTATCTTGGATTAAGACAAAAATCAGCCAAGAGTCTACGAGAGCAGTTCACCCACGCGGTGAAATTGATTTATGGTTATGGTTGTATCAAGCTAGGAGCAGTTGTGTAAAATCGTCAGATTATTTTTCCAGAAACCTGATGATAACATAAGTCTAAATTATTCACCCGTCCTGCCCCTTCTCCCTCCTTTCTTCCCTAGTTATTAATGGCACTACTGCGGCTTCTATTTTGTTTTACCGTTTCAGTCTGAAGGAGCTGCCAGCTCATGCTAAATTTTCGATTAATTCTTTCTAAGCTGCATCTGCATATGTATCTCTTAAGCTTTGCATAACCAGGTTTTAAAATTTTAAAAATGTTTTTTTAATAAATTGTGTCCAATCATGTAAAAAGGAATCTAAGATATCAATGAGGACTGTACGTTGTGCATATACTCGTACAAATAACATGCTCAACTTGTTTACTTTCTTCTCTGCTTCGAATTTCCACATTGTACAGTCAAGACCAACATATTTTCTAGCAGTAGATGTACAATTTTCTCTTGTTTCGTAAAATGTTGTTATTATGACAGAGCTTCAACTCGAGTGTCAACGATAGTATTTACAAGTAGTAAATGTGTGGTTTTAACTATCAAATGTTGTCGACAACAACTTTCCTTCATCCTAAAATTCAAATACGATAATAGCCAGCACATACAATGTGCATATCTACCATATCTTATGTACAACTATTTAATTACCACAGAAAGTAAATGTTGCGGTTATTTGGAATGTATTGCTTACAATATTGTTAGTGAAAGTACACCAAAGTTAACTTACAACTGAGGTCCAGAGTGACTGTGGTTGAGACAGGGACGCTGATATTGCTAATAAATCACAATTGCGTATGACACATGTATTAGGCTTGATCACATATAAAAGTAGTAACCATCAGTAAAACTTACCTATTTGCAGCTTGGCAGGTCAATCTAGCATTGAGGTCGCTGCGCTGCAAACGGCTGATCGTCAGTGTATTTGACACCACGGTTGAAGTTACATGCTCCGAAGACACCTCCCACGTGTCGTCCAAAAGAGCATTCTCCCTCCACCAGCTAACCTTTGGTAAGGGTGAACCTGCATTGAACAGAAATCAGGGTTCTTATACTTACGTGTCAATACTACAAATTTAAAAATTAGTCGATAGTGCATAAATTTATTGCATAGTGTAGATTCATCCATTGGATTGGACAGATTTGGACAGATTTGGATCCATCCAAAATGAATGAATATATGTAGCACATACTCGTGTACGTATGAACCTATTTTGCTTTCACCGTGGTTAATAAATTGTTACGACAATTGAAGCCAAACATGTGAGAGCAATTATCTAATTCACATGCCTATATAGTCTTTTGGCTAAGCGTTCTTCGTCGTCATCCATCGAGTTGGCAGTCATAGATTTTTAGACAGATTCGATTCAGCATGCAAAGTATTATGCAGGCATACGTCAACTAGCATTTTGGACTGAAATACCCCTTGTCCAACCCAACAAAACCCATAATTAGTGAAAAAGTCAAACTTTCCAGTCAAAACGAGTCGAAGCACTTAAATAATATGCATTAATGATGCAGACAAACACTTTCCTCCTTCGGCACCTATGTACATTCATACATATTTACATGCACATACGCCAACCTCCCTGCAGCCATAGACCAGCAGGCCAAACATTATTAACTAAAAACCTCGTAACACAAGACTGCAACGTTTGCTTGCGATCATAACAAGTAAGTCCCTGCTACGCAAAACAATACGATCCCCAACTGAGCCATTGGGTAACAACTGACGTGTTACATAAAACCAACGCAACTTACACATTTATAGACTTCACTTTGACATTTAAGCAGTTTTACTTCTTCCCTGTCAAGTTTTTATGGATAAAAAATGATGCTATACAAAGGAAATCACCACTCTTTTGAGCGCAACATGTAGACAACTATGTTTAATAAACAACATATTCAAGTACCATTTGCATTTGCATTAATAATAATTATTGTAATGAACGATAGAGATTGCGTTCTTCTTGTTTTCATTGTATCATCTCGTCATATTTATAGGTTGAAAATTACATGACGAATTTCACGAGTCTCATTTTTATGCCAATATGAACATCTTTAGTCGTGAAAGCTAACAGCTAAGTTATTAGTTACAACGCTGTCGGACCTTTTCTTCATTCTTACCATACATTATTACCATCAACTGTTTAGTACATAAATACACAAGCATTCATACGAACTCAGCCATTATTACGTAAGATGATCACATCATGTGGTTAACATGCAGGATTATAATGTCTAACTGCATCTAAAAACGACTTAAAATCAAATCAAGCAGCTGGAAATAGTGGAAACGCTACTAACTAACGAGCGTGTAATTTATCGTGGCATAATGGTAAGTTAATGGCAGCCAAATGATTCGCTGGATGCGATCTTCAATAAAATGTTTACAATACCTCCTGTTGAGACACATGTCAGCCTCAATGAGGAACCTGCAACCATAAAATTATTTCAATTAGCCAGTGATCATTTGAAAGAACGTTCAGGCTCCAGTGTTTCAAATTCAGTAAATCAGGTGGAAAAGCATCATTATTACGTGATTTCCCCGAAAACTGCGAGTTTATTTAATGCATGCATGTGCATACATACTCACCTTCATTGTACGGCCCAATTATCATGGAGTTCATCTCTGTTCCTCGCTCATCAACCACAACAACTTGTTTCGGTGGAACTGTAAATGACAAAAGATACACATTTTTCAAGCTGCAATATTAATAATTAGAATTTATTGTTATCAAATATTTATAAACAATTATGTTAATTTACAGACGAGTGTGTCTAGACATACTCATTGAATTGCGTCGGTGGGTCAGAACTGCACTAATTGCATACCTGTCACTCTCGCCTTGTCGGATTCAGTCGAGCTGTTGGCAACATCATAAGACAAGACTACCCATATTATTGGGATCACGGAGGCTCAACTTGGTGGTCTGGTCGTGGGGAAATAGTGCTGCATGCTGTCTTTTCTATGCTGTGTGTGTGTGTGGTCTGGTGTCACCAATACCACTTTTGTCCCTTCAGGAAATGGAAACATGGTTGTCATCTTGCTCGCAACTCGACAAGATGATAATAATAACTTCTTATGTGCTTTCTATTTTCTTATGCAAGCCGTGGGTAAACGGTGGTGGGGAGCGCGAGGGGAAAGCACGGACGGAATGAGAATGACAGAGTAGACGACGACGACGAAGCCTCGATGACTTGGTTGTCGGTTCATTTTATTACCCATTCCTGAATTTGTTAAGACAGGACTTGGCACCATCTAACTAAGCCATCAGCAGAACATATAAGACTTTTGGGAGGAAATAGCTTTGTTCAGCTCACTTGTGCTTTCTCTTTTCCTCTCTCGTGGAGAGAAAAGTACGAGTCGGGAGGAAGCAAGGCGTAATGAAATGAAATAAGGCTAAATTATATTACTCCATCTCAGTCGCCCATCATATATTAGCATAATATCATAGACGTCGCAGAAAGGAATATATGAATACATACGGGACATCTCTCCATTTGTTCAGGCGAAATCCTTATCATTCGCTTCGTTCGAATGCGAGTCACTGCGAAACATTTCCGCACTCATACCGACCACGCAAATTTGGGAGAATGGGGATAAGACAAAGCCGTAAAATATTATATCAAGACAATGTCTACGGGCTCTGGTGAGAATCCGAAAATGTTTTGCACACACACGGTCCTCATCCAACCCTGCTGGCTATATGTTACATATGCATGCACGTATTCTGCCCCAGTGTGTGTGTGCGTCTCCATATTCTCATTTTTTTTAACTTGAAATGTATTGTTTACGACTAAAGCAAGATATTATTAAAATTTTATCCCATCCTAAAAGTTTTACAGAGAATTTCTTAAAGAAAATGTGGGCACTTGAATGCGCAGAATTATACCATTGAATTTTTTTATGCATAAAAAAATTCAAGATAAATTGATTTGATAGATATAAATATTATGTGCATCACTCATTTAATTGTACGTGTTCAAAATGAGAAATTACAATATCAATTATTCAATATTTCTGCACAATTTTTAAGAGATCCTAAAATACATATTTTTCGGCTTAATTTGTATTTTATTAGCTTTACTCAAGGGGAGAATACTTTTGTATGTAGTATCTGAATACTTTGAGTGATTGGCTCTTGTTGTCGAAGGGAGATGACGGACGACCCATAGAAATAGAAAGTAATCTCTCTCTTGGTATTTTTGTTTCATGATGACGGCGATCGAGGGTGTGTGCATTTGCTGGATTTTCGAATGAGATTATGATGTTCTGTTGGTTTGATGTGATGATATAAATTCCCTCCGACCGATGAAGATGGTGAATGTTGTTATGCATGGTGTTTGTGTGTATGTATAGGTTGCTTGCTTCCGCAATTCAGCACAAATTTGCCGAGTGAGTAGTAGACGACAACGGAGAAGGGAGACAGGCAATAAATCCTTACTACTTTTGACACAATGCACTTTAATTTACTAAATGGGGCTGGTTCCCCCAACTTGAAGATTGTTTTCCTTCATGTTCAATAATCCCCTTTTTATCATGCCTGATTTCCACATCTAGATCTTTCATTTATCAAATTCCGAATGCTAATCTGACATTCTGTTCGCAGTCAATTTATGGAAAAATTTACATTTGGGATTTACATTTTTATTGCAAACACAACACGTGGCGAACAAGACAACACAAATCGGAACTCTCCATTTGCCATTCATTCATCCATCCGTCCGTCTGAATTATCATCCTGTTTGTCTCGATTCCTTTTTCAGCAGTGCATGGAAGGAAACCTTATCTTCTGCACATTATCATTTTTTGTAGCACATGTAAGAAGATCCTTCATCGTTATCAGGGATAGGATCGTGAATAAAAATTTGAATTATTCGCTCCAAGTCGCCAACTTTGGACGTTTTATAATAATAAATTATCAAGAAATGATTATCATCTTATTAAACAGAAAATATTCACACCTTGTTACACGCTGTACACAACTTCATCAGCACGGAATTTCATTGATATCGTCGAATTATCGTGTGGCATCGAAATGTACGCTGCACCAACAAACAATGTGTAGGCGTCCCTTCTGGTCTGTGCGTGACTATATAATCTAAACCCACAGTCACTGGCATGAACTCACTCGCCACAATAGGAACCTAATCATGAATTAGTTATTTCAAAATCAGACATGAGGTTTCCCTTTCATCTCTTCTGCACATATAATCTTCGTTTCCTGTAGATGCACTCTTCCCACTAATCATGATCATCACCCACTATCAGATTTTGTGTTCAAGTGTGAAAGCATTATCGTGTTGTGCAAACCGTAGAACATCCTCCTCCTCGGAAATAATCTACATCAACATCTATTATTAATAATGCCCTGAACTTGAACTTGGATGACTAGGAACTCGGTGCCGTAAATGTTTCTGGTGCATGTCAATGCATAGTTTGGGATTATTTCTCAATAAAGCCTTATTCGCTCCACCACCGCATATTCTGCTCTCGGCCAACTCGACCTCATTTCAATTTCATGATCTTACACCAGAGGCAGAACATGATACATAAATGCAAAATGCACTGTAACGCTGCTTAATCCTGCGTTGTTTTCTTCTAAATAAGACAAATCTGAACTTGCTTTATCTTTTGTAATGAGAACTGGTCCGCAGCAGTGAAATGCATAAATATTTGGCTCGAGCTTTCCCCAGAATTTTGTAGATAGTTTATGAAGAAGTGACTGCAGAGGTGTTTGGTAATGAGGATAATGCTGTGCTGCTAACGAGGAGTGTGATGCAGTAATTTTGTTGGGTTCAGGGTCCGATGTTATGTTATGCATTTCGTGTGAGACCCAAATAAATCTTGTGAGATTAATGTATTTACTTGTTTTTCCCTCCTTTATCATATTTCTTTCAGTCAGAACTAATTGATAATGACTTTGCTTATGTAAACAGATTTGTCCCATTTCTGAAAAAATTCTGGTTCTGCTCTGTATTTTCATGTTAATTTTTTTCATTCTACTTTAAACACTGCACGCACTATATATGTATGTATTCAGTACAAAATTATATCCCAAAGGTACATATGCTTATACATAGTACACATCCACATAAACACTTATGTACGTACACATCTAGTTCCTCTCTATAAGTGCAAGTCACTATTTGTGCAGTAAGTACGACTAACTGGCTAATATACTATGGTGTTTAACAACAAGAACAATAAGTAATGTTTGTTGATACGACCAGAACGAGGACAAATTGGACTCCAAATGTTCTTAGTTGTGCCGTTAATTATTACCGGCACAGCTGGACACTCCCTTTCCCCTCGTTCTCCCTGGGAATGTGGAAAGCAATATATTTTGTCCGGGTGGCGGAACACTACAATGAAACCATCGTTAGTTCAAACTACTAAAATAATGTAGCAGCATCATCAAACGAGCTGACCATGATCAACGCAGAGGCTGTGCTGCAACTTCTTCCGACAGACCCACTTTCATTCCTACAACCGAATCATTCCCACCGGAGCAAGATTCCTCCTACGGAGAGCAGAGTAAGGTAAAATGTCTAACCCTTTAGGCCCCGTGGATTCTTAATTTATGAGGGGTAACGATATTGTGAACAGTTGAAATATATGGGATTCCTAAATAAGTTGTCTGCCAGATCATTATTACTGGAACACCTTATCGTAATCGCCACCTTTCAATTTTCTTCCTGTGAACTGATTTCTGAATTCCGTACCCTATATTAATTCAGATATCTGACAACAAAAACCTGACACTGACACGGAAATTCACACTTCCATGAAATGGGTTTCAGACAATTTCTGAAGAATTAATTTGTGCATTCTTACAAGAATTATAAGAGCGATAATACTACAAGAAACCTGAAAACTGGAGGTTGACTGGTAGGATTGATGTGATAAAGACATTAGGACATTGTAAACGATGAAAATAACATAAATTGTAACTCGTCAACACAATACGCTTGAGCATTTGTCAGCATTATCTAATAAATGTAGCTCGACATAACAGAGAAATTCCATTCCATAGGTTGTGAGGATTATAAGACTTTTATCTAAAATGTTGGATAGATGCAACACAACTGCTTGTGAAACGTCTGCAATGCAGACTTTGCATGTGCACACTCGTTGAACTCTCAGGATTAAAAAATATCAATGTTGTTTTTTTTTTGCTATTTGCTACGCAACTGGTTGTAAGCATTAACTTAAAGGTCCAGCTAATGTAATGCGACGAGTGACATAAAAGCCAATAAAATATGGCTTAGGAATAAAAGCTACAACTTAAATCTTGGCAAGTAAATCAATTTAACCAGAATTAATTCAAACCTGCAACAGTGAAGTAGAGATCCTCTTTTCATGCATGCATATTTCCATCAATGACTCCAATTATTAAAAATTTATACAAAAACTGACAGCCAGGATTTGGAATGCTTCCAAAATAAAAATATTAAAACCAGATACTTAACGATTCTTGCTACAAAATATAAACTAACATTACACCGTGAGTCCAATAAATATTTAGTTTTAGCATGATTTTGATTCAAATCATACACAATTCGTCAGTATATTAACAAAATTTTACGTAAAAATAGAATCTCTCAACCGCAACAAGAAATTGCATCAAATGCAGCATCGACATTTTGCTTGTTCATTTAGCTTTTTCCTCACGTTCGCATATGCTCAGATCATGATAAATATATCACATTTTCTATACCACCGTCATATAAATTTGACACTGGACCAAATAACAAATAGACCAAAAACGTCATCGAGATGAAATACTGCTTGTTCACTTTCATTGTCAAGGGTAATCAAAATCCATTCACCTCCTGCTCCCACACCTCGTCTCAAATCCACAGTTTTTCGCCTGGAGGATAAAGTGCTTTTTCAGAAAGATTTTTTTTCCTAGCATTTTGGAGCATTTGTTATCAGACGGTAAGGGGACGGAGCACACGAGCCAGGAGAGAATTCCACATTCCAAAAGTATATCCGTAGCAAGTTTAATCTCGAATTCAAGCAGTGAGGGTGAAAAAGGATGTTGCAAGAATAAATATTTTAAAGAGAGAAGGTGACAAAGTGCTCCCGTAAGCTTAATGCAACGCAATCTTTCAAACTTATCTGGACTCTCGTCAAAAGCTCATGTTCCTTTCGACATTGCTGAGAAAGATATACCCTACTTTGCAATTCAGTGACTAGGCCTGCCACTGGAATCTCATATCGAATCTTAAGCTGGATTCTATACCGTCATTTGTACCGGCCAAGGGAATCTTGAGAAGACGAGACTCGCGTTAAAAAATAAGAGACGATAATTTGGGATTTTACAATAAAGGAAAAAAAAAGTCGGCATTAAGCAGCGTTGCCATTCGAAATAGTTTTAGCATCGGAAGGATGAGGCTTTTTAGATCGTCGTATCCCTACGAACGAGAGAAATTGAAGAAAATAAAGCTCTCAGTGGCAACATGCATAATAGATTTCAGTCTCAAATTTGGATTCAGCCCTCGTACTCGTGTAAGTCTCATTTCGAGTCAGTGACTGTGTCCTAAAACTCACCAAACGTGCGTCACTGAAGGTCACACAAAAATTACACGTGCAATTTATTTCCCTAATATTCGAGCATCCAGAGAGAGACGGATGGTAGCTCTCGCTCACACATGCTTTGCGAATAAATCGCTTGAAAGACAAAGTGCAATGGGAATGAATAAGATTGGGCGGAGCATATGTGAGGGTGAGGCGATAGGAGCGATCGTTGAATATTCAACACGACGGTCACGTCCACTTATTTCACAGGAGAAAGCTTCTCTCTGAAGAGTGAAAACAATTTCTCACTTTATCCTCCTGCACGTTCTAACTAAACGGCGAGAGAAATATGGGGGCTTGGATGAAAGTAGATATGGAATGCCGACAAGTAGTAGTGAAATGCCCACTTGCATTTGACACAATCATTTGTCTTTTGGCACCAGTATTTACACTTTTCATATTGCCTACTATTCAAAGACGACTCAAAATGATCAGTTCCATCAAATCTATCATTTAAACGCTAACATTAGCTTTATCGTGAAATTTGTCGGATACTTTCCTATCAGCTTTTATAGATTTGGGGATTTAAGCAAGTTTTCTTAAGTTCTACTCATACTTAAATACGTACCTATGTACGTAGGAGGGAATTAGGGGAAAGTAGATAATTTTCTTGAGTGTGATTGTTCAATTGGGTATATTTATATACTTACGACAGTCATGGGTCAAGAATGAGATTTGGAGAGCCTAATAATAAACTATACAAATGTATGCGCCTATGTCAGATATACACGCTGATTACATAGAAATAAGTATAACTACTTATCTTTGCTACTATAGTGCATCGGATCTTACAAGTCACACACTTATCCCCTTTTTTGCGGTGCTGCGGGTTGGTGACTCGTGGTTCTCGAACTATTAAGAAAAAGTCCACTCAAACCGGAGAAGTCCAGTCGAACGCAAGCCAAAAACCAAATGTCCAAGATCCGACCTAGCAATTCTCCAATTTTTTCTGCCCTTTGGTCTTTCCCTTCCACCGCATTCAACATGACATCGAACAAGGATTGAATTGAGCATTGGAGACACTACGGCCAGACCCAAACCCTTATGAATGAGTTTCCACTATTTGGACTTTGTCTTAGCAATTCCACACACTGTTACACACAGATCTTTGTATGGTCACAGACCACACATACACACAAACACAAGCCAAACTATGTAGTACACACTTGATTCTAGGGGAAAATAACTAACTCAATAGCAGCAGTAACTGGAGAGCATTCGCGTTAAAGTTGGTTGCCGGGTAGTTTGGCATAGCAGGCAGTCAGGGAAATCAACTGCTGTGGACAACAACAATACATACAAGAAGGAGTGCAAAAAATTGGAAACAAGTCGAACGGCCAAAAGAAAAGTAGAAACGGAACCCTTAGACCTCCCAACCCAATCACCACATCCTGTCGAAGAAAAGCTTTGTCGATTGCTGCCATTAGAGCCAAGTCTTCTGGCGTTGTCGTTCTACTCAACTTCGGGGCAAGGCTTTAGGCGACGTAGCATTATTATTTATAAAAAAATGAATTCTCTGAAAATCTCGAGTCATACAAAAAATGCGTGGAGCAGCAAGTCTCAAATCTGTACTTGTTTCTAATAAAAGAATGGCAAGTCCAAATGGGTGTAAAATACAATGCGTCTCGTAATCTCAGGAACAGAGATTTGATGATTTCTGGACTTGTTTCCTGTCTCATGCCTCACTGAACATCACACAGTGACGGAGATGAATGTTTTGTCAGCCACACAATGCTAAATGAAAACAACTCTCTGCTCAGTAAATTGAGCTAGCGCTAAAGTACAGCAGCATATTATTTAACTAACTGTGGTCGCCATCATCATCATCATTGTCGTCGTCCACACAGTGCAATCATAACATGAAGAAGGCTAGCAGAACAATTCGTATTTTTTTTACAGAAATGTGAAAAGCCGTAGCACATCGAATAAAAGGAATCACACAACGCAATCCAAAAGTAGATCAAACCACTCTAATAAATTGAAAAATGTGCTGGACTTACTAATGATTGTGAGGTTGACGTTGTGGTAAAGAGTGGGCGATCGTTTATAATCGAGCCTGCATTTATACAAACCCCCGTCCGATTCCTTCACGTTCTCAATAATTAAGCTCGGAGGGTCAGCAGACGAACGAAAGTATGCACGTCCTCCTATTAAATGGTGTATTGAAAAGCAGTATTTAAACACAGGCCGATAAATATATGTACCAATCTTTATGTTTTACTTACCTAATGCCTGTTCATTTGACCAATGCTGAGCTTCCTCGATCTGTTTTTCCCGAGCGTCCAAACTGCAAAAAATAATCGAATCATTATTACAGCAAGGAATCGAAATTTTGTAGCAGCAAACCAACATATGATTTTTCACTTGGGTACACACAACAACCTCATCATCCATATTTCCCCTTCGTTTCTTAAAAAAATAGTGAGAGGAATGCAGGCATATGTTTTATCCTTTCACACAATATCGAACGAATTATTTTGAAATGATGCCAACCCATAAGAAGACGACGGCGAGCAGAACACTTGCTTTCTCTTTTGCCTTTGCCTACTTTTTTCCAACAATTACTAGAATTTTGGCTCAGCGTGCAAAAAATTGTACCTTGGGCTGAGCTGGTTGAGCCATTAAACACGTAATAATAGCATATCTACCACAGCGTCAGTGTACAATGTAGTGGTAACGGCACACTTGGTATATCGACTGGAGAATAAAAGTGTAACAATGGAAAGTCATATTTTAGCTCAATAAAATACCCACAGACAGCAGCCTCCACCACCACCACCGGTCGGTCGACTCCAAAGTTTTCCATAATAATACCGATTTTCTAGTTTCGTATTTTTATACACTCAATTGATTGCTCACAACTTGGACTCAGCATTTCAGCTGGCACACTGTTCTTCAATCCATTTATTTCCGTCTTATGTTTGAAAGTCGAATGTGCCATATATGCGGCTGCTCCGTGTATGTGTCTAGCTCTGCACGAAGGCAGATCTGTGTCAGCCAAGAAAAATGGTGGAGTAGTCAAACTATAAATTTCAGCAATTCACATCAACTTCAGGCAACCTATTGGTGAAAGCTACGTTATCCTGCAAATTCAATTTTTGCAACATGTAAAAAATGGCTAGCTTCAAAATTATCCAGCCCACGCGACCAGAGATTTCCAATAATAGAGCATTTTTTGAAAGGTGTAATTTCATTTTGATGAATGACAAAATTGATGCAAGAGAAAGTGAACTCTTTTGTTTTATCTTTTGACCCGTTTACTAAAGTATGTCGGCAACGTTTTAAAGTGTTTCACTTTTGATGGCTCATATGTATTTAATTTGCAAGGGTTTGGAGAAAATGTATAATTGAACGAAAATCTTGACCGAAACCGCAATTTGTATATTGAATAAAAATGTAATGTTCAATATGTTAAAATTCTTGCATCCTGAATTCAGAACCATTTAGAATCCAGCCATCCACCCACCCACCAACTGTTTCTGTATTTCTTGTCACTGGACGAGAAAAGTTTGCCGACTTGAATTGGATTCAAAGAACGTTTTTCAACATTCTTCCAGATCAGTGAGCACAGCCTATGCATGCTGAATGTTGAAAAGAAAAATGCTCCGGTTAGATTTCCACTCTAGATCACAAGGAACTTTCGGCTAAAAAACTAAAGAATAACTAAAACCAGTGAAAGAATCTTTCCTTTCCTTTGATCCGGCAGTGTAAAAGCGCTAAAGGAAAAAAGGCAGCCCTTCACATCTTGTTCATTTTATATATTTACATGCCCTGCACCTTGGAATATAAGAAACAATGAACTAGAAAATGAAGAGAAAAAGTAACAAATGCAGAGACGAGAAGAATATGAAAGTAGTGTAATAGGTAATATTTATATACATAAAATTATGTGTACCCTGCTCACGATATCTGCCCAGAAACATATCACGTGCAAATATTTAAATAACGCTGAGATAACCCTGCTTGGCAAAAAACGCCTAATTTTAATGGTTATGCGGGTGTGAACGAATTAAAATTGTCCAGTCTGGGCATATTATTGCGTGTCTTTGGATTGTCAGTTACATAAGAAGGAAAACAGAGCGAGAAAGTTTCCACTAGCTCAGGCGAGCACATTACGTATGAGGAACCAAAGTTGTGAATTTCCCAAGTCAGTTGAATTTTGCATGCCAATTTTCTGTCTAATGGCTCGTCAACTTCATTCGCTCCTTCATTTATTTATACGTTGTCTCACAGCAGGATCTCAAATGCCAGCCGAGACCAACCGAGAAATTTGGAATGGAACAACGGGTAGGAATAAAGTTGGTTGAGTGCATATCATTGCTGGAAATTCAGATAAGGTTCAAGTAGTCAGGATTGTATTACAGAACCATTTCACTGCTACTTCAGTACCACATTTTGAACTAGTGTTTTTTATCTGCATCAACTTGTGAGGGAAAAACAGGATTTTCTGACTATCCTAAATACAGTCCGCTTATTTTATGTCATGATGAAAGACACAAGTCATAAAAGGAATTTGTACGTATATAGGCCAGACACGTTGCGTATTTGTAGAAAATGCAATATGAGTTGAATTGAGTGATTGAGTGGTGCCAGTCACCAGTGGATACGCCGTAGATAGTTAAACATTTTTGTTGTCAAAACTAAGCACTCCTCAAAAATGTGCCTGCTATTTAAATCGAGCAGTTTGCGTTTTTATTAGTTTATGTATCCTCTCAAAAGTTATGAAAAATGTAAGCATCAAAATGTCGAGGAATGGACAAAAACAATTGATGGTAATCATCCACAGCGAGCAGGAAGGGAACGAGATTATGAAATTAGGCATTCCTCTCGGTCGAAGAGAAAGCCCTGCTTAACCAACCAGCTCGCTCGCAGTCACTCGCATTCCATTCTCTCGAAAGAAACGAAACGCTTGCTGCACGTGGTTCGAAATGCATAAAATTCAACTCCTGATGGTTGATAGTAGAATTCGCAGGGGAGAAAGTCATCCCGCTCATCCGCTTTTTTCTTGCGTACGCTGAAAACATTGTAGTAAATTCAAATGTGATGACTGTGACGAGAATCCAGGACCCAAAAGAACAAGTGAAATGAATTGTGAAGAGAAATTGAGTCAGGAAATAAAACTGGATAACGAACATTTATAAACCACACTCAATTAAAATTCCTATAAATCGGAGAACGTTATAGCCTTTTCTATGTACACTCACAATTATTAGCGACGGTTGATAACATTTCTATTGTATCCCAGGTTCAATAATTTGCGTGATATCTGAGCCGAAGCAGGACTGTAAAATAGTGATTGTCGGTCATAAAATTTTGAATGACTTTACACCCCATTCGCCTATTATTTAGCTAGAGTATGAAGAGAAGACATTGATCCGGTATTGAGCAATCCCACGTATTTGTTACGTATCCAACTGGGTACAACATTAAAGTAAAGGTGCTCGTATCTCGTACGTTTTGCTGGTTAGCTTAAATTTGTTCAGATTGTAATGACGAGGTTCCTCACATAAGTTCATCGCTATAGTTACAAATCTCAAAGCCGCTTACTTGCAGGATGGCGACTCGAACATAGAACATGGCATAATTTATGTATTACTCGGTATATATAATTCAATGGAGACTAATACCTAGGCCCATGCACATTTGTGTATAACACGAGATTACTACTTCTCCGTTGTGAATAAATAATTACATGTGATCGAATTACCTGTAAATCACCGTGGATGTATCTCTTGACCAAAGCACCAGTCGGATTTTATCTCCGGAAGCTACATTTAAATCACAGGGCAGTTCGGCAATCTAAAATCACAATAAAATAGTCCACAATTACGTTACAACAAATATCTATTAAAATACTTACGTTTCCCAACACAGCCTGCACTTGATCTGCCACGACTGAAAATACACAATAAAAAAGGCAATTAGTACTTGGGCCATTTAGTCTGGACTGACAGAGATCAGGATTATTGACCACTTATGTTGATTAAAACATTGTATTGTTGTCCTATATATTATGTTGTCTCCTATCATTTGAATTCAACCGACTAGAATTTTTAGCTAATTGAATTTAAATTACACTCTAAACAATAGTGATTTTTGCTCTGGAAAATGGCAAGCATTTACGGTAGACGAAACATTTGCAAAATGTAAATCTATAGGGAATGACAAGTGTCGGTGAAAGTCAGTGGTAAAAACAGTATGTTTGTACATATGCGTCGGTGCACCATACTACACTCGAGAGGGAAATATGTACAAACTTTCATCCGCTGGTGAGACATATACATTCTCTAAATTTACGGAACAAAGGTATTCCTCCCACCTCGAAAAAAACTCATTTTGAGTCGTTTGTAGTGAGCCAAACACAAAAAGGCGCCTGGCCTATTTTAGCTTCCTCCCAATCCAAGTCACCCATGAGAGGATAGCAGACTCACTCTTCACAATTGCCAGTCGACAATTCGACACTCGAGCCTTTTGTTAGTCATTCCAATCCAATGGCCAAAATAGAAAAGAAGTTGATCGTTGATGGAACATTTTTGTAGGTTGAATGTACACCACCACAGGGAATATCAGAGGCAGGCAGGCAGGCAGGTTTCATTGAGGCAAATTCTAATGCAATCGTCTAATGTGATGTGGAGCATCAACCCCCATTCGAAGAGAGTGAGAGAGGGCGAGAGGGAAGAAAGAAATTGAAACGCGGGGAAAGTTTAGTCGGAAGAAATTGGTCGTAACGATGATACGCTAGACTAGATAAGTGAAATACGCCCTACGAATTCTTTGGTGGTGCATTGGGTCAAAATTCAGCATAGCATCGCACAGCCTGCTCCTCAGCTTATGTGTGCGGTGAGGAGACGCAATAAGACTTTCCCCACTTTTGCAGCTTGTGGGATGTACGGTGCTGATACTGGAATACTGAAACGGAGAGACTTTGTACATGTACACACGATCTGAGAGAAAGAGCACGCCGCATTCAAACAACTTTTGGCACAACACCCAATTAATGCTGACAGTTGCAAAAACTCTTGCCATTTCCCCCGTTCGTAAGGTTGGGAGCTTGGAGCAAATAAGTTTTAAAATCAACCTACACACACAATAATACCCTAAAAAGTATTACGCAGCACATATTAGCATATTCGAATTTCATCAGCAACCTTACCTGCATCTTGTACACATGGAAAATATTTTGGCACAAATTTTATGAATATTCCATATTTATTATCACCTCGAAATATGGGGAAATAATTCATTGTAAGCTCTTTACTTGTGGATACTTGTTTCGAAGTTGTGCTTAAATGGATGCTAATTACAGTAAAAAGCTTCACGTGCAGAATACAAGTGGATACTTTGCACATGCTCGTAATGAGAATGACATTGCGGAGGAGTGAGTGGAGCATAAACTCACTCAGCCAGATTTGTGAAGCAAGTTTGAAAGAGCTGTCAAGCTTTCTCCACTCGGAGTCAACTCGCTGTCTCGCTATTGTCTTCCCCTCCTCGCCTACCACGACCACCGTCATCACAAAACCAATCCAATTCGAATCATGAGAGTCAAGTGAACTCCTTTGTCTTTTCAATCTTTTGCATCATATATCTAGAATTCTAATGTAAAAGTCACATCACGACTCAAAAAGTGGAAACCAGTGTAGGACAAGAAAAATGCAGCAGGACGGCGGCAGTGGCAATCGATCCTCCATTCATTGTCCAGGAGGCACATACTAAATCTGATTTGTTTGAGTAGTAGGAAGTAGAAAACGCATTCCTCACAGTTTTACCTCGTCCTCTTTTATAGCACCAAGATATTTAAACAGCGTTCCCTATTGCCTCCCCTTCGGCATACTTACGTACGTACTTCGGATATGGTCATATATCATGAAATTGTTTCCAGAGTAATAATATTACCCGGAAATCATACATATAAATACATGAACAGGAGGCGACTATACCTTTTGCAGTAGGTATAGTTGCATATGAATGGGCACGTATGAAAAAGGAACAATTTTTCATAAGTGAAATGTTCCACCGATCTCGTTTTTTACAAGATGACAATAACTCCAATGAAAGTTTGAGATATCCACGTCTTCATGAAATATTGAAGCATCCTTAGCCCATCATGATGATGGAATAAGAAAAAGTTGGATATTTTATGGATTGTATAAGCGGATGAAAGTTGAAACGACCACATCCTCAAAAATTCTTTCTTTCGACGATGTCCACCCTAAAACGAACTTCGAATTTGTCAAATACTCGTGAAGTATGAAGTATGAAAGAAATACTAAAGTAATATCGACTCATTTATTTTGTTACGAGTGCTTCCAACAGAATAATATTGGTGTGGCAACTCATTTGAACCTGCTCTCTGCCTCCCTTAAAACTCTGCTCAAAAAAACTTTGTGTACAGAATATATAAAACATTGTCAAAATTCGTAGTCTCCAATTAAATCCATTAATCACGCAAAGTCGCCACCTCGTGTGCACTTCTTGTTTACATCGCCCTAAAAACATCACATCCAACTGCTACATCCACCAGCCTTCCAACAAACACAACAAAGTATCACAACTGATGAGTGTTTGTGTGCGCAAAATATTGCCACATTGTTATTCTTTGGCCTTATAATCTCCCTTTTGCAATCGTACCCATATACATTCCTTTGATTCCACATGGTTAGAATGAATGAGGAACATGTTACAAACACACACATACACATTCCTCGTTCTGAAAATTCGATTGTTTGCGCTTTCCCTGCTTGTGGGCCCGTTATCGAGCTGAAATCATCCTGGCAAACTCGAATGGTGGTCCGGACCACCGTCACTTTCTCACAAGCTCATAAAGCGAATGGAGAATAATGGGCAGGAGAAATAAACGAGGAAACTTTTTTCCTCTACTTTTTTGGGTAATGATCTACCCCGAAAACAGACATTGTGGTGTGTGGTGGGACTGAGGAGGAAGAAACCGAAATGAACATTTTCTCCCGTTCCTCTATATTTATAAAGAAGAAAAAATAAGGCGGCTCATAGTAGTTAGTGCTGACGGAGGAGTGCAGGGGTAAGCAACCAGCAGGGGAATCTAATTCCACAATCCACACGATCACATTCATCCCATATTGATTCAACCTTCCATTACATTCTAACAAAGTTATACGTCCTCATTCTAAAACCATTCTACTTAGCCGCATACTTACATATTTTTCCCATTTCCAATTCTACTGTATTTCGATCGAATAGAAGAATACCAATATGCAGAGAATCCACGAGTCGAGGTAAATAAGTACATGCTCGCATCTAGACAGAAAACACATGGAGAAAAAAAATGTACATACGTGTATGGTTTTATGGGTATATGCATTTCTTCGTCTTGCGAACATGGGCTTCAAGCCACAATAAAGCACTCACAACAACAACAAAAGCAATGCAACATCAAACCAAAAGTACAAAGTAAGAAAAATTTCTCAAAGAACCCACTTTTACAAACTTTCACTCCCGCAGCCAAGATACTTTGTGGGTCTGGGACTGATAATAAACCATTATCTAATAGTTTAGTCACTACGTAGAGCTCTACTGGTTGGAAAAAATAGAAAAAGAAGACATCGCATCGTTTAAAGTTGCAAGTTGAGAGAACATACGAAAAGCGTTGTTTAAGTTTCCATGTACTTGCGAAAAAGAACCAACTAACTTCCAAACAATCACTCCACACTGCCACCCAACAGCACACAAAGTATCACAATATTCACTGGTAACTCGCATACATACGTATATTTGGCGGAATTTCTAGTTCATACTAACATTCTAGTGGTAATTTACTTCAATTTACCATATATTAGCGCTTCCTTCAGCAAAATTAAAACTAAGCTACCCCACTTTTTCTTATGATTATCCGCCCACCCCATCCAATTTTTTCATTTCCTGCCTCTCCTCAGTTAACCTCTCCTCAGAACAAAACTCGGGACCACAGCAAGATAAATACGTTCCATTCATCCTGCGTTTTTCCCTCCCAACCAAAAAAGCAGCGTTGGTGAAACAAACCAGTATGTACTTGGAAATGCGATTCGTTCATCTTGGGAATTTCTCCACTAAACTCTATTCACATAGTTTACTTTTTCTTGTAATCTGCTGCTTCGCTGTAATAAAAAGCCTTGACTCCACAACGCTCATTGTTTACTTAGCATTTGATTTTTTATCTTTATCATAAAAAATGCATAAAAAACTTTAAGTGAATCGCAATTTTTCTTGTGGTTGGTTATTTGACCCAGTTTAGGAATGGAAGTTTGTGCAGACTTTTTGTTTTACTGTAACATGTGCATTTGTACATGTGTGTGTGTACATATCTTTTAAGATATATCTCATAAGTGATAGTCCTGGAGAAAGCAATATTGCAGAAAATACGCACAAGTTTTACTTGTGGCAATTCTACAGCAGTGATGAAGGAATGGTCCGACATAAATACGGAGCAGTCAACACAGAAGTGAAGCAGGTCTGGAAATTTGCAAGCATAATCTAAAATCTGGAAACTTTTATTTCTACTCCAGGTTTCCAAGCAACTTCTGTCGTCGTAATGACCTAAAATTGTTTAATAAATTACTGCCATTTATCAACTGCTCCACACAAAGTCACCACTTTTACTAAACCCAAATATCCCCCTTTCTCCACCAACTTTTCCTATTACTTACTTGCGGTTCTGCTGCCATTCAGCTAACTAAAACTGTAGGCGTGATAATATTATGACTAACTTTGGTGCGCACATCTAAAATCCCTGCTAAATGCGTTATATTCTTGCGACAGTTGAATTATGCAATTGTTGGTACACATCATAACGAGCTGATTTCAATCAAGCTAAATTTGTACCAAACTTTGTCTTACTAATTGAAATGCGTGACAGATGAAAAATAATTTATAGGTGTTTCAGA